CTCATTCTCTCCCTGCAGTGTGGCTCCCTCGTCTACCCCCATCCCAGTGTGGTTGCCTGTCTGTCCCCCAGTGTGACTTCCTCCTTACTGTCTCACCAAACACAAGATCATCCTGCTCTTGCCAAACTCAGAGCTCTGGATTGTCTCTGGTCGTTCCTCCTGCTTGTATATATTTAAAGCTGGGTATAGTGGCGCACACCTGTAGGCAGGTGGATCTCTGTGAGTTCCAGGCCAGCTGGGGCTACAGGGAAACACTGTTTCTAAAAGACGAGAAAAAAAAAAAAAAGTCTAAAGATTTTAAACATCTGTGTTTATGAAGCCGGGCATGGAGGTGCACGCCTTTAATCCCTGCACTCAGGAGGCAGAGGTGAATCTCTGTGAGTTCGAGGCCAGTGTGATCTACATAGTGAGTTCTAGACCAGCTGGGGCTACAGGGAGATCCTGTCTCAAAAAAATAAAACACAAAAAAAGAGGCAAAATAGAGGTGCTGGCATTGTGCTGACGATGCTCCTCCATCTACACTCCTTTAGCCATCTCTGCCTCAGTTTCTTTGCTCCCATCTCAAATCCGAGGTTATTCATATTACATGAGTTACATGTTATACATCACATCCATCACTTCTTGCCATCTCTGTCAACAGCACATCAGATCATCTCCCTGCCCGCCATGGTTTCACAGTGCCCTTCTGATAAAAACCACACTCCTTGCCAAGGACCGCAGGGCCCTGTGGTCTGCTCCATCCTCAGCCTGTGCTCTCTTGAACTCCAGCGTCTTTTCTTTCCCCTTTCCAGCCTCTGTACCTGTTGCTGTCTTCTGTGTGTCTGGTGGACCTCCTACTCAGGTCCAGTGTCCTTGGAGTCACCTTGCTCCACCCCTTTGCAAGGCTGCCTGCACCTGTCTGCTTGGCTCCTTGGTTTTTTCAGGGCATTTAGGAGAAGCTGTGAGTGCTCCTTTCATTGATAAGTGCTCCATGGTGAGCCTGAGCCCCCACAGGAGCCCACCAACCTTTACACCCTTCCTCCCAGGGCTGGTACAATGTCTGGTACACCGTGGATCCACTGCAGGTGTTTATTGGATGAGTGAAGGCATGAATACATATTTTCCCATATCATTATTTCTAATAAGAGCACAGTAGTCTGTTATACAAATATAACCTAATTTACTTAATCACTCTGTTCCTGATTTTTTTTTACCACACCAAAATATATGTAATCTAAGTAAGTGGCCACTGGGAATTTTCTTGAGTAAGCTATGGACTATTATAGCTTAGACATTTGAAATCCTAGAGAGTAGGCTAGGGATATAGCTTAGTGGGAGAGGTTGGTCTCACATGTGTGAGACCCCAAGTTCAGTGCCCAGCAGTGCAAAACCTAAATTCCAGAAAGAACCTTCTCTCATATTAATACTTTATTTTTAAATTTTTATTTTCACTTTAAAAATATTTTTATTTTATGTGTATGGGTATTCTACCTGCATGTATGTAAGTACACCATGTGTGTGCTGTGCCCACAGAGGCCAGAAGAAGGCCTGTAACTGGAGTTACGGATGGTTGTTATCTGCCATGTGGGTGCTGGGAACCAAACCCAGGTCCTCTGCAAGAAAAGTGCCCTTAACCACTGAGCCATCTCTCCAGCCCCTAGTTACTTTCCATTGCTATGACAGGCACCATGACCAAAGCCAACCTGAGGAGGAAAGGTTTATTCAGCTTACAGTACAGTCCTTCAGGGGAGGTAGGGCAGGAGCGCTAGCAGGAACCTGGAGGCAGAAACTGAAGCAGAGACCAGAGAGGAACGAACGCTGTGTAAGAGTGAGACCACGGAGGACAAGTCACAGCCTTTGGGTTGCAACAGCAAGAGGTTTATTTAGGACACAGGTACCTGTGGGCACAGAGTCTCCTCGGAGGACTTGCGCGCCCCAGGTTGAGTTCAGGGGGTTTTTATAAGGCAGAAGCAGGGTACAGAAGCAGAAACGCGGTTATTGGTTAATGAACCTGGAGGCAGAAACTGAAGCAGAGACCAGAGAGGAACGAACGCTGCTTATTGGCTCCTCTCGCCTGTGCTCAGCTTGCTTTCTTATACAACCCAGGACCAGCAGCCCATAGTGGGCTGAGCCCTTCTACATCACTCAACAATCAAGAAAATGCCTCATAGACCTGCCCACAGGCCATTCTAATAGAGACGGTTCCTCAGCCGAGGTGCCTTCTTCCAGGTGTGTCACACTGAAGTTGACAGCTGAAGCGCACCACCACGTGGGAATATTGAAACATGATCAGAAACAGAGTTAGAAGCCACTGTGCCCTTGAGACAGGGAGACAGGGACCTGGATACTTGAAACACATGTGCTGTTGTCAGTTATGAGACTTCTAGTCATTCCAGGGTGGTGTGTGGCCTGGGCTTTCAGAATGGCAAAAATCAGACATGTTTAGTCATGTATGTGGCTGTGGTGTTGTAGAAACCAGCTTAGCAACATGGTGACCAGGATGAGAGCGTGCCACAGATGAGCTCACAGTGGGGAAGACCTCAGAACTGCTCCAGGTTTTGGAGTTTGAAGGGGACTCATGGCTTGAGACATTGTCTGTCATCGCCTTTTATTCATGTGAGGTGGTGGTTCTCAACTCGAAGACCCTCGGGGGACTGGATACCACAGCTGTCTCCACAGGAAGGCTGCAGTGTCATCTGCCTCCTTTTCACACTCTTCTGAGCAGTTCCCAGATATCACTTGATTCTGGAAACACTATCTTCAGAAGGAGGACAAACCAGCTGTCCTTGTGAAGCCAGATATTAAGGAGGGCTGTGACAGTGCACAACTCCACCAGTGTTCTCTCTAAGGTTTCTTACTGTGGAAAATATAGTTATTTTTCACTAAAATACTGTATATATTTATATACACCAGGTTTATTGTTGTTTTAAATGAGTCAGTTTTTTCAATTTGTTTTTAAAATATTTTATTTATTATCTTTATTTTATGTATATGAGTGTTTTTACCTGCATATAATGTAAGTGAACCCATGTCATGCAATGCCTACAGAGGTTGGAAGAGGGTGTCAGATCCCTGTAAGTGGAGTTACAGACAGTTAGCCACCATGTGGGTGCTGGGAATCAAACTCAGGTCCTCTTCAAGAGCAACCAGTGCCCTTAACCACTGAACCATTTCATTTCTCTAGTCCCTGTTTGTTTTTAGAACAGGATCTTTCTATGCGATCCAAGCTAACCTTCTGTGTCCCAGGAAGGTCTCAAACTCAACATACTCCTGCCTTAGCCTCTTGAGTGCTGGGATTAAAGGTGTGTGCCACCATGTAGGCTTCAGTGTAGTTGTTTTTTTTAATTCTTTTTTTTTTTTTTTGGTCTATTTGAAACAGGGTCTCCCTGTAGCCCCAGCTGTCCTGGAACTTACTATGTAGACCAGGCTGGCCTTGAACTCAAAGAGATCCGCCTGCCTCTGCCTTCCAAGTGCTGGGATTAAAGGCATGTGCCACTATGCCCAGCCTTCAATTTAGCTCTTAATATGCAAATGTCAACAGATATTTAGCCACTTAAATAAATATTCTCAGGAGTCTTTCATTTTGAAGAGTATGAAACAAGTTTGACATCAAAAAGTTTGTGGATCGGTGAATTAAGAAGACAGGAGAAGAGCTGTCTTGAAAATATTTATTTTATTTCTGTGTGCATGTGTCTGTGTGAGGGAGTCAGATTCCTAGGAGCCGGAATTAAAGGCATTTGTGAGCTGCCTGATGTGCGTGCTAGGATTTGAACTCTGTTTCTCATGATTGAGCTGCAAGCGCTCTTAACCACAGAGCCATCCATCACTCCGGCCCCCAAAAGAACTGACTTTATGGTGGGTTGACTGTGGCTCGGTCAACAGATTGGTTGAATTGAATGACTCAAGTGCAAGACCTAAGGAGAAATGCCCTAGTCTAATAGACAGGTGTGGGAGTCTTTGAAATTGCAGTAAGATTTTTTTCTCTCCCTCTTTCTCCTTCTCCTTCCTCTCTTACTCTTTCTCCCTCTCCCTCCCTTTTCCTTCCTCTCCCTCCCTCCTTTTTTAGAGATCATGCACGATGTGATAAAGAAGGTCAAGAAGAAGGGGGAGTGGAAGGTAAGTAAAAGAGGAGAGTGTATGACCCTAAAGGTGAGTTCATTTATGTGGGAAAAGTAAGAATGAGGGTCATGGGGCTGGGGAGATGGTTCAGTGGACAAAACACTTGCCATGAAAGTGTAGGGACCAGAGTTCAGATCCCCAGTAGGCGCATAAGCTGGGCAGGGGGCTGGAGAGATGGCTCAGTGGTTGTAAGCACTGGCTGCTCTTTCAGAGGACCCAGGTTCAATTCCTAACACCCACATGGCAGCTAACAACCATCTGTAAACTCCAGTTCTCAGGGATCCAGTGCCCTCTTCTGATTTCCATGGGCTTTGCAGGACATGGGGGCACTTACATACATGCAGGCAATACACTTATACACATTAAATATTTAAAAAAAAGAAAAGGCCAGGCATGGTGGCACATGCCTTTAATCCCAGCACTTGGGAAGCAGAAGCAGGCAGATCTCTGAGATCAAGGCCATCCTACTCTACATAGCAAGTTCAGGCCAGCTGGAGCTACAGGGACACCCCCCCCCCCAAAAAAAAAGAAGAAAAAGAAGCTGGGCAGGAGCAGTGACCAGATTGTAATTCTACCACACAGGAGGCAGAGACTAGGGGTCCCTGACTGAGTCAGCAAGCTCTGAGATTAGTAAGAGATCTTGCCTCAGTAAATGAAGTAGAGTGCTATTGAGGAAGACACCTGGTGTCAAGCTCTGGGCTCCACTTGCATGTATACTTGCACACATGTGTGTTCACACACATGCAAACACTCATACATGCACCACACACATATACATGCCAAAAATGTTGGTAGAGTTGGAGTCGGAAGGAAGGAGTTTGGCAGGATGAAAGCTTTTCCTAGAACCAGAGGCACAAAATACTCCTGGATCAGAGTAAGGTCATCTACTCTGCGCCTCATCTTGTAGGATCTTGGTTCAGAAGTCTCTTGGGCATGAAGCCAGTGAGATGGCTCAGTAGATAAAGGCTCTTGCCACTAACCTGAGTTGGAACCCTGAGATCCGTATAGTAAAACAAACCAACTACCTCAAGCTGTCCATTGACCTCCACCACATATCTGCCCACATTCACACACACTAAATAAAACACAATAATTTTTTTTTTAAAGCAAGTCTTGGGCTGGTGAGGTGACTCAGCAGGTAAAGGTGCCTGCCTCTAAGCCTGAAGACCTGAGCTGAATCCTGGTTCTTTCCTTCTGTGTGGTGGAAGGAAAGAACCGACAACTGCAAGTTCTCTCTGACCTATACAAGAGTGCAGTGCCACCCACACCTCCCGACATGTGCACAAATACATGACATGTAATTTTGAAAAGTAAAACCAAAACAAGAAGTCTCCTGGTCACAAAGCAGTCACAGAGATCACCTGGCCCGATGGGCCTGTGCCAGTGGGCCACTTTCTTTCAGTCTGACCTGGAAGTTCTGCTTGCTGTGAGAGAGGCAGAAGAAAGGTTTCTTCTTCCTTTGGTGGCCACAGACCATCTCTAGGAAGTCCACAGAATAGTTTGAAAGTCTTCACTTTGTCTGTCCATTCTAGCTGTAACTCGTAGTAAGACAAAAGAAGAAAGCTTGTTTATTCCTGTACCAACAAGAGCAGTGTCGGAAACTGTCCTGTGCATGAAACAAAAATTGAAGCCAAGCAGATCGACAGTGGCCTGTGTTCTCGGAGTGGCCAGTGCAGGAGAGGCCCATGCTGTCCTCCGTGCATGTGGTCGGCATTTTGAGGGTCACTCGTCTCTCTGGGTTGGGCACCACACCGGCCAGGAGAGCATGTAGTTCCACTGGAATTCTCTCATGTGATGGTAAAGGGTTGGTAATGGCCATTCTGGCCCTCAAGTTTTCCTGCAATCAAGAGCCTGCACAAGTTCAAGTTCACCGGGCCTGGGAACAACACAGCTGGTTGCACTGGAGGATTTTGAAGACCTCTCTGGCGACCATCTGTCTGCACTGGTAGATCTCCGTCTTGTTGCCTTCTTGGTTTGTACGCTGAGGGGAAGGGAAGGAAGGCCATGTTTGCACTGTTGCCTTCCTGTCTCCGTTGAGGGATGAAAGGAATGTAGAAAAGATGAGCGCTGCAGGGGTGGGACATTCCAGGACCAGAATGTTGTCCTCGTCTGGATGGAGTTGTGTGTGGTGAAGGTGGGCGTCCTGATGCTCCTAGCCTCATGAACCACAGCACAGGTGTGGTCACTGGTCAGTCCCCTAAGAGCAAGTTATGCCCTGCAGAATGCCCACTATCTGGATTGCCTTTGAGTCTTGCTTCTGGAGAATTCCCCCTCTTACATTGTGTATGAATACTTCAGAGTACTTGGAAAGTTTTTGAGATCAAATCAGAGTAAACACTAATGTCTAGAAGGCTGGGTTGGCATGTGGGATGTAAAAGCAGCCATGTGTCTCAACAGACCTCTGGGCTGTAGGAAGCAAACAGCCCCTCCCACATTCTGTATTTCCCATGTTTTTTGAAGCCTGCTGCAGGAAGCTGGTCAGAGAGTCAGGACAGGAGCCGTGGAACCCTGAGCTGTTTTGTTCCTTCCAGGTGCTGGTGGTGGACCAGTTAAGCATGAGGATGCTGTCCTCCTGCTGCAAGATGACAGACATCATGACTGAGGGGATCACAAGTGAGCACAGCGCCTCTCTGCCTTCCCTTGCAGCATGCTGTACCCTTCCTAGTCATTACTGTCCTGTGACTTTACATGCTTCCCAAAGCCTGTGCGGTAAGACTGTAAGCTCCTTTGAAGCCTGAGGCTACCTGTTCATGACTAGAGCACCCACAGAACTCAGCACCAGGTGCTCCTTAAAAGAAATGCCAAAAAAAAGGCAGTCTACCCAGTAGGAAAACAGACCTGAACACTTAAAGGCAGAAGTCCAAGTGGCTGAGGCATATATGAAATGTACCCACCTTCATACTGATCAGGGTTAGGGAGACACTGGATGAAGCAGATTAAGGCAGATAAGCTCAGTGAGGATGTAGGAAAATAGAATCACTGGTACCATGCAACGTCAGGTGGGTCAGTTGCTTCCAAAAGCACTTGGAGGGCTGGAGAGATGGCTCAGCAGTTAAGAACACTGGTTGTTCTTGCAGAAGACCTGGATTTGAATCCCAGCACTCACATGGCAGCTAACAACTGTCTATAACTGCAGTTCCAGGGGAATCCGAAGCCCTCTTCTGACCTCCATAGGCATTGCACAACATGGGTACACTTACCTACATGCAGGCAATACACGCATACACGTAAAATAAAAATAATAAAAAGCACTCGGTAGTGTGTAATAAAGTTTAAGGTATGGGAGTCTTGTAATCCAGAAGTTCACGGTTAGGTGTGTACCCTGGACAACTTCAGGTATGTATGCCCAGCGTACATGTACAGGAGTGTTCACAGATTGTTGCTCACAAAAGATCCACATAGGAAAGAGCCAAAATGAACATAAGAGTAGATTCAGGCTGTCAAGATGGCTCAGTAGGTAAAGGCACTTGCTGCCAAGCCTGATGACTGAGTTTGAGTCCTGGGACCCACATGGTGGAAAGAGAGAACAGACTTCCATGAGTTGTTGTCTGATCTTCACAAGCATACACACACAGAGACACACAAACGAATAAATGTAAAAAAAAAAAAATAGCATGTCAGAAACACAGTAGGGGCAGGTGAGATGGTACCCCCTTTAATTCTAGCACTGGGGGTGGGGTGTGGGGCAGAGGCAAGTAACCTCTGTGAGTTTAAAGCCAACCTCATCTACATAGCAAATTCCAGGACAGCTGGGACTACACGGAGACCCTGTCTCAACCCCCCCCACCAAGAAACCCCCCAAAACAAAGCAAAACAACCCAGAGTGGAATGGTTAACTAGACTGTGCTGGAGTTGCACTGTGACTGCTGTACCGCAACGAAAGCAGGTGGCCCCTGAGTACTCACAGGAACATGACTGACTGCTACGCACAGCATCAAGTAATCAAGTAAAGCAGCAAAGCAGGCTGAGGAGGTGGCCCGGCCAGTAAAACGCTTGCTGTGCGATCATGTGGACCTGGGTTTGGACCCCCAGCACCCTTGTGGTGTTTGTGGCCCTGTGAGGCTATCTATAATCTAGTGAGGAGCTGGAGGAAGGAGGATCACTGGACCCTGTGGAGCTGGAGGCGGGGGAGGAGTTAAGTACCTGCCCAAGGCCACTAGACTATAGAGAAAAAAATCAAAGTCCCTGGCTTGCTTTAACAGAAAAGAATGCTTTTTGAGCTGTTGAAAGAAACACAGCTTTATAGAGGGTATGTTTGGAATGCCTCATTAGATGAACTCAGGAAAGTGATAAAACTGAGTGGTTCCATTTGGTTTGCAGAAGTGGGAGTTGAATTAGGACCTTTCACATGCTGGGCAAATGTACCACTGAGCTGTACATCAAGCTCAGGGCTGCCCAGTTTTTAGATAAACCCCTTGTGGAAATGCTGAAGGAATTCTAGGGGAGTCATTTAGACTAAAGAAACCGAAGAAGATTCCTGTTTCCTCTCCGATGAAGGCGCTCACTTAAACTGAAGTGTGGAGGGTCTGGCCTAGTAAGATGGCCGGTTTGGGGTCTGGAGAGATGGCTCAGCCCTTAAGAGCACTGGTTGTTCTTGCAGAAGAGTTTGAATCCCAGCACCCACATGACAGTTAACTCCAGTTCCAGGGGATCCAACAGCCTCTTCTGTCCTCCATGGGCATTGCACAACATGGGTGCACTTACCTACTTGCAGGCAATACACACATACACATAAAATAATTAATTAAATTAAAAAAAAAAAGATGGGCTGGGTGTGGTAGCGAACGCCCTTAATCCCAACACTTGGGAGCCAGAGGCAGGCGGATCTCTGTGAGTTCAAGGCCAGCCTGGTCTACGTAATGAGTTCCAGGACAGCTGGGGCTATAGGGAGACCCTGTCTCAAAAAAACCAAAAAAAAAAAAAAAAATATGGCAGGTTTTCTGATGCCTTGAGTGACATGAACAGTGGACTTCACTCCTGGGGAATATGTTGCTTCAGGAAGAGTGGAGGAGCTGTTTCTCCCTCATTGTAGGCTTGTCTGTGCTGCTCTGAGGGTGGCCTGGCCAGATGGCTTTTCTAGTTTTCTCAGTTCCCATGGCTGTTTCTTTTTCTAGTTGTGGAAGACATCAACAAACGCAGAGAGCCGCTGCCCAGCCTGGAGGCCGTGTACCTCATCACCCCATCAGAGAAGGTAAGTCCCCAACGGGAAAGCGCTCAGGCTGAGGTGAGCTGCTGGGCTTGGGATCTCTGGCACAAAGCGCCTGACATTTCTAGGTTAAGCGCACATTTAACACATTGCTGTTTAAGCATGTGGTCCACGGGCAGGCAGGGTGAGGAGTGGACTAAGCCTTAAGAAACAGCAGCAGTACAGAGTGGAAAGCCAGAGGCCCCAGAGCATTCTAGTTTCCCCTGGCACTCCCTCTCCAGGCAGGTCTAGCTCCAGGCCTGGGTTTTTTTGTTTCCAGGTTTATTTCTTCAGTATCCAGCAGGTGCTCCAGTTTGCCTGTTTTACAGTTTGAAGGGATTGGTTCAGATCAGATCACACAAGGCTTACTTCTTGTCTTGGGTCTCTCTATAGTAAGAAATTCCTCTAGCTTTATATACCTTCACTTTTGGAAACTGGCTTGTGTACACATTTCTGCAGATACACCCAAACTGCCAGAACTGCATCAGTAGAAAGCTCCTGGAAGATTCTGAGCAGTTTCCTGGTTCTGTTCTCAGGAACCCAAGTTACAATGGCACTGACAATGTTGTCGCTCTGGAGTGAACCACACTCTGGACTAATCCTGCTTTCAAGTGCTCAGATCCTGGTTATGGCCGAACATGAGAGCTGGAGTTACACGTCAGAAGTGCCCTGCTGTTCTGTTCAGGGAGCCCAAAGCCAGATTCCGTTGACCTCATGCAGATGTTGGTCACATTTGCTTCTAGAATTGAATTTAATGCCCTCTTCTGTCCCTGTCCACAGTCTGTCCACTCTCTCATCAGTGACTTTAAGGACCCACCAACTGCTAAATATCGGGCTGCGCATGTGTTCTTTACTGACTGTAAGTACTGCTGTGAGCTGTCTCCGTTGGCTCAGGTTAGCACAGCTCCACTGAGCTCAATCCAGGTCAGGTCAACAGGGAAGAAGTGGGCCATTGCCAAAGTTGTCCAGTCTCTTCTCTCCAGAGTATAGCTGGTGTAAGAGACAAAACAAGCGTCCCCCAGCCAGGCCTTCCAGAACAAGCAGTTGTTTGGTAAAAAACAGCCCATCAAGTCCTCTCTCAGACAGAGGGCTTCCTGTTGAGAATTTTCCTGGTGCTCTGTTATATAGACCTCCAGCTGTCTCTAAGCTGTGGGAAGACCATCAGGTCTTCCACTGTAAAGATTCCAGACTTGTGGTCTTTGTATTAGGTGGAGCTGCACCATTGCCCTGGAGTTAGTTTTCTGATTCTGTGCAGGTTTATGCATGGATCCTAAGTTGTAAGAGTCACGGAGCCACAGGAGAAAGCAGTAAGACTTCACCCACCTTCTCCCTAGGGATAAACCCCCAGAGGCCACCTTCAGAAAACAGGGTAGCAGAGGTCTTACAGATGACAGAGGAAGCAAGTAGACAGTGCTAGTGATTACAAACCAATAAGGTGCATCTCAGGCCATTTGTCTAGCCTGGGCGTCATCATGGCCCACCAGGGGCTCCTAGAGCTTCCGAGCACAGTCACTGCATTCGTTTTTCTTCCTTATTTTATTTCTTATAAACATGTTAGATGCATGTCGATTATTCCCTTACCCTCTCTTAATGACTTCTGTTGTTTCCCTCCCTTTCTTTGGGATTGGCAAATAATTTTATTAGCTCTCAGTATCTCAGCTTGTTGCTGTATATTGCTCTGTGGTGTGTCAAGGGCCCTGAGGGTGTTTTTCCATTCCTCTTAGATATCTTAGGATGGGGTGGACTTTCTGGGTACCTTTAAAAAAAATCTTGATCAAACTGGGCGAGGTGGCGCACATCTTTAGTCCCAGCACTGGAGAGGCAGAGGCAGGTGATCTTGTAAAGAGGCCAGCCTTGTCTACATAGCAAGTTCCAGGTCAGCCGAGGCTACCGGGAGACTCTGTCTCAAAAAAAAAAAATCTGGATCAAATAAAGAATGCACTGTCATGCGTGACTGTTGAATGAAACCCCACTGTCTTTTGTCACCCTTGCAGCGTGTCCAGATGCCCTGTTTAACGAGTTGGTAAAATCCCGAGCAGCCAAAGTCATCAAGACACTGACGGAAATCAACATTGCATTTCTCCCGTATGAGTCACAGGTACACAGTCTGCATCCCAGTTGTTCCATCAGGAACTGGGGTGGGGTGGGGGCAATAAACAGTCGCAAGGGCGAGGGCATCTGTGCTGAATTGCCAAATGATGTGTTCTGTGCAGGTGTTTGTTTAATGAAATGGTTCTCTCTGGACCATTGCCCAGTGTGGCATCTTACTTGGCTGCCATCTCTGACTTACTATCAACCATCAGCCCCTTTGTGCATCTTCCCCATTGCTCACCGCTCTCTCCTCTTAACTGACTCCTTGAATAACCCAAAGAAGTCAATCCCAAAAGAGTAGGGAAGAGGAGGAGGGGCAAAGATCAGAGCACCCCATCTGCTGCAAAGGAGTCTGTTTTTATTGGCAGTAACCCTAGCTTGTCACATGCTGAGAGAACAGATGGTCACCTCCGTCATTAGCTGTTAATGCTCCATGTACCCGAAGGCCCCAGCAGCATGCTTCTCCCCCTGGGAGGGAAAAGTTGTTACACCCACAAAGCTGAAGCTGATTATGAGAAAATACATAAAATTTATCGTAGTGTTTTTAAGATTTGTTAAAATGTTTTCTCTGGTGGAGTGTGGTGGCATACATCTTCAATCTTAGTACTGGGGAGGCAGATTTTGAGACAAACCTGGTCTATATAGAGAGTGCCAGACCAGCCAGTGCTACACAGTAAGACCTTGCCTCAAAAAAAAAAAAAAAAAAAAAAAATTAAATGAGAGAGAAAGGAGATGGTGAGTGTGGTACACAGTGCACAGGTGTTTAGAGCTGGGCTCACTCCCTTTTCCTTGGCCTCAAGCCTGTTTGCTTGGGAGGGAAGAATATATTTACCCTCCTCACCCCCACCCATGAGTCCTGTCACATCCTGGGTTAAACAGAATCCAGCTTTAGCATACCCAGCCATATTGTATTTCAGAAAACTTGAGAAAGTAATAAGCCTCCTTAAAAAACACATTTTTTTGGGGTGGGGGATCTTTTTGAGACAGGGTCTCCCTTTAGCCCCAGCTGTCCTGGAACTCACTATGTAGACCAGGCTGGCCTTGAACCACAGAGATCCGCCTGCCTCTGAGTGCTGGGATTAAAGGCGTGCGCCACCATGCCCGGCCTAAAAAACACAATTTAAAAAAATTATTTTATCTTTTTTTTTGTTGTCTTTTTGAGCCCCAGCTGACCTGGCACTCACTTTGTAGACCAGGCTGGCCTTGATCTCAGAGATCTGCCTGCCTCTGCCTCCCAAGTACTGGGATTAAAGGCAAGTGCTACTTTACCTGGCAGTAGTCACTTTTTAAAGGAGGTCGAGGTAGTTAAATAAATTATAACTTGAGAAGATACTGGTAGCTGGTATACTCCATTTTTAAGAGAGAATTTTAACTTCCACAGCCCTTCAGAGAAAGGGGTGGGATAAGAAGAGGACAGTACTTAGAGCAATTTACTGAGGACAGGATATTATTAAAGCTATAAAAAGCTCCTTTATTTGCCCACATTTGTGGATAATCTCCAGCTCATTCTTTGTTTATTAAAAGCAAACTCACACTGGCCCATGAGCTCCCCGTCATTGCTCATCACACACCCCAGGTGCGCACCCTGGGCTCCTTGGAGCCACCCTTCTCTCCTCATAGAAGTCTCCTGCTGTCAGTAAACACTTCACCTCCTTGAAGCCCTTGCCCATGCTCCTTCTCCAAGAGTCCTCCCCGTCCAGCCATCCAGGAATTCTTTACCTGCTTTGTCTCCTCTGTGCATCAAGTTCTCAATACCATACAGTTTGTTTTCATTCTGTTTAATGTCTGCCTTTGCCCATTACACTTCAGCAGATTCTTTTGGGGACAGGACTGTTTTGGTCACTAGTAGTTCTGATGTTTGATGAAGGACACTGGAATAAACAAAAGCATGTCCTGCAGACACCCTGCCAGGCTGGAGGGGGCATCTCACCGTTCTGGGCTCTCAGTCTGTGCATATTTTACCCTTAGGTGTATTCCTTGGACTCTGCCGACTCTTTCCAAAGCTTCTACAGTCCCCACAAAGCTCAGATGAAGAACCCCATACTGGAACGTCTGGCAGAGCAGATCGCAACCCTGTGTGCCACCCTGAAGGAGTACCCAGCTGTGCGGTATCGGGGGTAAGGCAGTATGCTAGAATGCTCTGAATGGCACCCTGTGTGTTTCCCAAGTGAAGCACTGTCCCAATCTTTCTCTGGCCTTACGGTTCTTTAGAAAGTTGTCTCAAGAGGATCAAGATTTGCTGGGCAGGTGGTACGTGACTGTAATCTCAGCACTCAGGAAACTGAGGCAAGAAGATCATGAGTTTAAAGCTACCCTGAGCTACATAGTGAAGATTTAATATTATACTTTTGAGGCTATTGAGATGGCTCAGTGGGTAAAATGCTTGCCACAAGCCTGACGACTTGAGTTCAATCCTCAGAACACATGCAAAGACAGAAGGAGAGAACTGACACCACAAAGTTGACTTCTGACCTCCATGTGCGTCCATGACATGCATATGCCCCCTGATAGGTTAAAATGTTGGAGAGAGCGTGCGGTGGGCACGAGCGGATGGAGGAGGCACTGAGGCACAGATAGAATTCTCAGCGGGATACAGCTTTATTTCTCACGGGACACGTTTCCCTCGAGGAAGGGAAAGATGTCAGGGAAGGGAAAGATGTCAGCCCACGGGCTGTGAGCTGGGACTTTATATATGGGGGCTTTAGGGTGTAGAAGGGAGGAATGTTTGGGGGAGAAATCAGGGAGGGGGGAAGCAGGAAAAGCAGGTAGGATTAGGGTCTGGAAGTGTTTACTTTTTCCCTCTTAAGATAAGAGAAAAACAGCTTCTAAAATCTCTGGTTATCAGGTAGAATCTGCTTATCCTATCTTTGGAGGTCAGAGGAAAGGCAGGCTGCTTCTCAGCAGAGTTTGTTTCCCTTGACTTCAAAGGTCAAGGTGAGGTCCCTTTTGGGGAGGGGGGAAACTGCTGCTGTTTGGAACCCTGACACTCCCCTCCTGTCATACACTAATGATTTTATCTTTTAATACATTCAGAAAAGAGCATAATATACATTTAGTTATTGGATAACTAAATGTAACCCTCCATGCCACTGCAACTCAGGTTCCTAGTTTTTAATATCTTTGTAATGTTTTCAAACCAACATCATCTTTACAAAGGTTTTGAAAATCAGATACGGGGCTGGAGAGATGGCTCAGCGGTTAAGAACACTGGCTGTTCTTACAGAAGACCCAGGTTCGAATCCCAGCACCCACATGGCAGCTAACAACTGTCTGTAACTCCAGTCCCAGGGGATCTGACAGCCTCTTCTGTCCTTAGGCATTGCATGACACAGCTGCACTTACCTACATGTAGGCAATACACACATACACATAAAATAAAAATAATGAAATATTTTTTAAAAAGTAAGAAAATAAGATACAGCCGGGCGTGTGGCGCACGCCTTTAGTCCCAGCACTTGGGAGGCAGAGGCAGGCAGATCTCTGTGAGTTCAAGGCCAGCCTGGTCTACATAGTGAGTTCCAGGACAGCTGGGGCTACAAAAAAAAAGAAGAAAGAAAATAAGATATAAAGCCAGGTATGGTGGTGCACATTTGTAATCTCAGCACTTGGGAGGCTGAGGCAGAAAGATCAGTTCAAGATTACCTTCAGCCATTTAGCAGGTTTGAGGCCAGCCTGGGCTACATGACAGCCTGTCTCAAAAGAGAGAGAGAGGTGGAGGCGGGTGGGTCAAGTGAATAATTCTCCCAAAGGCAGAGTCTTCATGTTTTGTGAAGGCATTCACTCATCAATTACTTGTTCTGTGCTAAGTGCTTGGGGGGAAGGAGGTTAAAGTTAAAGACATAGCCCTAAGTTCCAGATCTGGAGGGCAGGTAATGATGGATGCCAACGCGTGTGTAGGATATATACACCAGGAGTCAGCCCTGGGAGGCCAGTGCCTTCAGACAGTACAGACACAAGTGTCGGGGTATCCAGAGTGAGCAGGAACCTTCCAGCCTAGGACAAGGTAAGGCTGTAGGTTAGAGTGTCTATGTGACAGGTCTTGAACATTGGGTTCAGATGGCTAAGAAAAGGCAAGGGCGTGGTCCAGTTGTCTCTTGCTGTTGGTGTACACAAAGGCTTTGGGAAATCACAGGGCTAGTGTGGGAAGGATCTGTAGTCTGGTACAACCCCATGGCAGGGGCTAAAATGTCGGCTTTGGTTTCATGGAGACCTGGAGGGACTACGACAGGGAGGGAAAGTGGAGCTTTGGGAGCATGAAGGTGAGACTGCGAGTGAAGAAACAGAAGAGGGGGTGAAGCGGGGACCGCAGACAGTGCAGGGACCACGGACAGCACGGGGACTGGACAGGGCGGAGACCGGGGACAGTGAAAGGCCTGGGCTGGAGTGATGAATGCAGCATAGGCAGGAAGGATAGACTGTGATCCAAGGAGCGCAAGCTCCAAGCAGCGCAGACAGAGCCCAGTGCAGGGATCACAATTGGGCAGGGCAGCAGCTGCTGAGGAATGGCTCTGAGCTGGGTGGTGCTGAGGGTCATGTACTTGAACCTGTCTGCTAGAATTGGGTCCATAGAAAAGCACCTCGTTGCTTTCCTCGTTGCTGGTACTGTCCTACAAAATCCGGGAACAAGTTAAGAAAAGGAGCCTTGGCCATCTTTCTAGACACAGTAGCAGGAACGTGTTCTGGGAACACAGCTGTAGTGGCACTGAGGTTGTTGAGGGGATGGGCTGCAGCTCTGACTCCCAAGAGTCAAGGGAACTTGAATGGAAGAAAGATTATTTCTGCTTCCACTTAGATTGTGTAGAAAAAAGAAGTGCAAGAAAGTCGTGTTCTGCGCACTGAGCTGAGTGTTGTACTTTTCTAAAAATTTAATTTTTAATTAATGAATTTTTATCTTATGTGCATGAGTGTTTTGCCTGCAGTGCCCACAGAGGCCTTAAAATGGTGTTGGATCCCCTGGAACAGGTATTATCAATTGGTGTTAGCTGCCATGTGAATGCTGAGAACCAAACCCAGGTCCTCCACAAGAGCAGCCAGTGCTTTTAATTGCAGATAGATGATAGATAGATAGATTATGTGTGTGTGTGTGTGTATGTGTGTGTGTGTGTGTGTATTATACATATATATAAATGCAATGTCTTCATAAGCCAGAAGGTGTTAGATCTCTTGGAGCTGGAGTTACTGACACTTGTAAGCTACCATGTGGGTGCTAGGAACCAAACCTGGGTCCTCTGCAAGAGTAGCCAGCACTCTTAACTGCGAAGCCATTTCTCCAGTCCCTTTTCTTTTCTTTTTAAATTGTATATGTAGTATATGGGTTAGTTTGTTTCTCTATTTACTTTGATCCAAGTCTTACTATGTAGCCCAAGTTGGCCTCAAACTCATTGTGACTCTCCTGCCTCAGACTCTCAAGTGCTGGGATTAGAATTGTGTGCCCATCCCCTGCATATGTGGGTATATCCTTACTGTAAAAATCCTAATCTAGACAATGCTCCTGTCTCTCCTGACCTCCCTACACTGCCTGTGTCCTTCCCGAGGCGATCAGCACATTGTTTGGGTGCACAGCCGGCTCACCCTCTGCCACTCTCCATTTGTCAGGGAATATAAGGACAATGCCTTGCTGGCTCAGCTGATCCAGGACAAGCTCGACGCCTATAAAGCTGATGACCCAACAATGGGGGAGGTAAGCCTGGGCTTCGATCACGAGGTTATCTTGCCCAGTAAAAACTGTTTGTGTGGCAGACTTGGGGATGTGGCGCTGCGCTCGTATGCAGCTCACAGCACAAGTAGAGCTGTTTTTCCTACATGTTGGTTTCTGTTTGCTTGGACGCCCAGCTGCAACCCTGAATGTCCAGGGGATACTCCGGTAGCAAAGTAGCAAAGATAGAAGTTGACATTGGTACCACCTCAATACCTCCGTTAGATCTCACTAGTTTTTGTGTGTACTCTGTGTGTATAGTTCATGTACTTTTTTTTTTTTTGGTCTTTTTGAGACAGGGTCTCCCTGTAGCCCCAGCTGTCCTGGAACTCACTATGTAGACCAGGCTGGCCTTGAACTCACAGGGATCCGCCTGCCTCTGCCTCTGGAGTGCTGGGATTAAAGGCGTGCGCCACCACACCCGGCAATAGTTCATGCACTTTTAACACACCAATAGATTTGTATAGCCAACACTGCCATTGAGATGCAGTTCTGGGCTGAGGCACAGCTCAGTGGCAGAGTGCATGCTTACTTAGCATGTGCAAGGCCCTAGATGAATCTCGAGAAAAAAACTGTTCATTAGTACTGAGTACTTTATTAAAATTGAACTCCTCTTCTGGGCACATCGAAATGGTTGGTCACCCCATTTGTAGTGAACCTGGTGCTCTTCTACATAAACCCCATTTGGGCCTGAGCCACAGTTTCAAGTCTATGTTAAAGGCCCTTGGTGTGATATGGAAACATTGGTGCCCACGCACCAGGGGAACTGGTATCTTCAAGCTGCGGACATGCTGCTCTGTGCTTTTTTGGTAGACTTACTTCTTGCTGTCTAAGAAGGAAAATGGAATTGGCTGGGTGGCCTGTGGAGCACCTCTCTTGTTTCTTCCCAGGGTCCTGACAAGGCACGCTCCCAGCTCCTGATCCTGGACCGTGGCTTTGACCCCAGCTCCCCTGTGCTTCATGAATTGACTTTTCAGGCTATGAGTTACGACCTGCTGCCTATTGAAAATGACGTTTACAAGTAAGTATAGAGTGACAGTTCAGAGTGATCACTGCTCTGCAGAGGAGCTAAGACTTCCTCTAATTTAAGAAAAAGGATGTATTTTCTTTCTCTTTTTGTGGTGTGTATGCCTGTTGTGTGTATAGACATCTTTGCATGTGTCTGGATGCACGTGCATGTGCATGGGAAGGCCCAAATTTGATGTTGGGTGTCTTCCAGGATCTCTCTCCACTTTACTGAGGCAGGTCTTTCAGTGAACCTGAAGGTTGTCAGTTTTGGCTCATCTATCATACCAGCTTGCCCTAGGGATCCCGTCTCTGCCTCCCCAGTACTGGGATTACAGGCAGCTGCCACATCAGCCAACATTTATGTGGGTTCTGGGGATCTGAACTCTGTCCTCATGTGGCAAGCACTTTATTCACTGAGATATCCTGCCAGCCCAAAAAAGAATGTTTTTTAATGCTAGAGAAGGTAGTGCATTGACACAGTCTCTCACATAAGCCTGTGAGATTTTCTATAGGCTTCCCAGGTCCACGCACTTCTGGGCAGGAATTCATGCCCTTGTTGGAGGACAGAGTGTCGGGTCTTTATCACAGCTCATCTTGTTCCACTCAGAACTGCTTAGATGTATTGACAGGTTGGTTTGAACGTTCAGAGTTGAACGTTCTTTTTCTTTCTCTCTGGAGCTCACTATGTAAACCAGGCTGGCTTGGAATTCACACCCAGCTTCAGAATTGCACGCCTGGCTTCAGAATTGAAAGTTCTTGATCATAGATCACAAAATATAATGATAAAATATTTGAACAGAAGTTTCTAACTGACTTTCTGAGTGGAACTGTTTTCTTCATCATGAAACATTTTTCTTGGCTAGGCTTGGTATGCCTACCTGTAATCCCAGCACTCAGGAGGTTGAGGCAGGAGGATCATGAGTTTGAGGCCAGCCTGGGCAACCTTGTCACAGAACAAGTGAAAAAACAACAAATAAATGAAAATGCAAACAGTGGTTTTCAAAACGAAGCTTCTAAAAGTACGCGCAAGTCTCAGTCTTTTCACTTTTGCTTCCCAGGATTCCTGCTTCCCCTGGCATTCGTGATTTCATGTGTAATAAGAGTTCTGTTGCAAAAGCTTCTGGATTAGGGCATGTATCCTAGCCCATTCCCAGAGAGGGACAAACAGGCATGTTGTCTTTCCTTTCTCTGTAATTCTGAATTCACATATAACTTAACTGACCTGAGGCCCTGGACCAGGTAGCTTAGGGAGAGCTCCTACCAGCCAATTCTGAGGCATTAAAGCAAAACTCCAAGTTGTTAACTTTGAGCAGAGCATCACTCCTTGCCCAAAGACTTGCTCTCTTTGTGCTGTCCCTGCTGACCTGACCAGCATGCCAGATGGTCAGTGGTATTGTGAGCTACTCCTGTGATCATTTGACAGCTGGGAACAGAGGTATTGTCCTTAGAAACCGAAGGTGATATCTGTGGTAGTGCACACCTGTGATTCCAGCACTTAGGAGGATCAGGAGTTCAAGGCCAGCCTCTGCTAATTAGGGAGTCTGAGACTAGCCAGAGCTACATGAGACTGTGTCTTATAAAAAAGTAAAGTAAAATAAAATAAGAAAAAAAGGAGGAAAAAAGAAACCAAAGGGGGTCCAGGGAATGACATGGGGACATGCCCCCCAGCCCCTGAATCCCATCTCCTGTAGGTATGAGACCAGTGGAATCGGAGAGGCACGGGTAAAGGAGGTGCTTCTGGATGAGGACGATGACCTATGGATCACGCTGCGCCACAAGCACATCGCAGAAGTTTCCCAGTAAGCATCCTTGCTGCCTTCTGCAGGGCGTTCACCCTGGGCTGGGGGCACCCTGCACACTGAGCAGCTTGGGGAGTAAGCACCTTCCCCTGGCAAAGTGGCCAGTGTGCTGACCAAGAATGACACTCTCTTCTGTCCTCTGTGCTTGGCCTCTCTGTACCGAGTTAGAAAATCCACTGAGCAATAGGGTTGCTCTGAGGGCTCTTGGAAAGCACTGGTAATGCTTTCAGGAAAAGCGTTTTGTAAACATGAAGCATTTAAAGCCAGTCCATGCCACTGTACTCTCCAGGCATACAGTTTTCTCTGTAGAGCCATCCAGCAGGTTTCCTGCTGTCTCCTCTGCAGTGTCTGAACAAGAGCTGATGTCTCTGAACTGAGCTGCATCTCGCTCTGGAAGTGCTTCATAATGTTCCCTATTTAAACATTGTTATAAGTCTGCAATGACAGCTCGGCTTTGACATACCGTGCTGCACTGAGTTGGTGATATCTTCATGAAACTCACAGGGAAGAGCAGGAAAGCCCAGTACCCTTGTGTGGTTCTCTTCAGAGAAATGACCACTGACATTGTTTGATCACTCAACCTTAAGAAATACTGACCCTCACTTCCAGTCATTAAGTTTACTTATGAATTAGTCATGTGCTACATACATGTTTGTGTTTTTCCAAATATGAAACAAGTGTGCTCTGATAGTATAGGAAGGAAGAGGGAGATAAACATGAGTAGAGTTCCAGTACTGTCCTCTCCTGGCCCCTTGAATCATTTGCTCACCCAACCCTAGATACCGGTGATTTAGAGTATCAGAAAAACAGTGTCTATCCTTCACTTTAAACACGTATCCCAGTGGCAGGAGAGTTGCCACCTAGTCTTAAGGAAGGCTGCGTGGCTCCAGCAGCCTCCACAGAGAGAGCCCTGAGTGCAGAGAAGCTCAGCTGCCTGCTTCCATTTTCCAGGGAGGTCACCCGGTCTTTGAAGGACTTTTCTTCTAGCAAGAGAATGAATACTGGAGAGAAGGTAAGTGTGCCCGCACCTGGCCAGCCTGGCCAGCCCCTGCATTCTGTGTCCTACTAGGGAATTAGCGGGGCCAATCTCTCCCTTGGCCAATGTCAGTTTGTCTTGTTTTTGCTTTTAACATTCATTCCTGGGTGATGGGGGTGTAGCTCAGTGCTAGAGCACTTGCCTAGCCTGAATAAGACCTTGGGTTTGTTCCAGTACAACAAACTATTTAGTGTTTTCCATTTTCCTGTAGACTATCTGGAGCCCTGTCTTTTGATATGGAGAGCTGCTTTGTCATACTTGGAGGATTAAGACTTACTGTTTGGGATCATAGCTAATTTTAAGTCAGAATGATTGTGAGACTTTATTTAGCTTGCAGTGGACTGAGAATTCGTAACCTGATTTACTGAGGCTGCCCCTGTCCCTGGCCTCTTACTCTGTTAGAAGTACCATGCCTGCTGGGCATGGTGGCACATGCCTATAGTCGCAGAACTTGGGAGGCAGAGATAGGTGGATCTCTGTGAGTTCAAGGCCAACCTGGTCTACATAGTTCCAGGCCATCTGGGGCTACAGGGAAACCCTGTTCCCAAAAGACCAAAAAAAAAAAAGAGAAAGGACAAAGTAGTACCATGCCCACCTTAGAGAAGGGCCTGGTTGTGCTTTAAACCATTTAGTGTCTTCTGGTTGCTCTTAGACTAGAAGGCCCAGGACCTCAGTCCCTTCTGTGTTTGCTCTGTACCCCACCTCCTCGCTGCAATCCTGCCAGACTCTTCCTGACTCAGCTTTGCCCAGTTCTTTGGCTGAGGCTGGGTATCCTCAGGGACATCTCTGGCTGTTCTCTGGGCCAGTTAGGTGTGCGCTGTGGGCACCCACACTACTCACTAGTCCCCCCAAAATGTCCTTCACCACTGTTGCTGTGGCCTGTTTGTCTGACTCCTTGTTAGGTATTAAGCTTCATGAAATAGCAATTCTTGGTTGTTTTTGCCCTTGACTGTCCAGGACCTCATAATGTGCATCAATGCAGGATAAGTGGGTGAGATTAGGTGGGTCCAAGAGAGTTGAACAGACCCATCTCACCATCATGAGCAGCTTCCAGCCCTCTCTGACCACCATGCCTCCTACCTGTCCACATGGGCAGCCTTCCTGCTGGGCAAAGTGCTGACTATGCCAAAACTACTTGACTGGAGCATGCAGAAAAGCAGTATAGGGAAGGAAACTACTTTTTCCTGGTGAGAATTACACTCTTTGCAACTTTCTAGACCAGAGAAGATAGAACAAAACTAGTGGGTGAAGGCACTTGATGCCAAGCCTGACAATCTGAGTTCATCAACTAGCCTTCAGGGTTTAGTTCCCCAGCAGATGACAGTCGTGACTTTCCAAGCGATATCCTTGAGTCAATGAGTTGGCACTTGTGAGGCTAGTGTGGCTGCTGTCCTATCTTGTGCCCTCCAGCTTCACAAGGGCTCATTGGCTCTGAGCCATTGGAGTGACACCCTGTGCCTTCCTCCCTCACAGACCACCATGCGGGACCTGTCCCAGATGCTGAAGAAGATGCCCCAGTACCAGAAAGAGCTCAGCAAGGTACAGTGACTAAAAGCAGAGCTCACAGCTGAAGGCTTCTCAGGGCCCTGCTGTCCCAATCAACCTGTGGAAACCCAGATTATACTTTCAATTCTTATTAGAAAAAGAAAGAGACAAAAGACAAGCTGGGCCCTGTCGTCTGCCCGTCCCTTCTCTCCACTCTTCTCTTTTTCTGCTTCCTCCCCTGCTGGTGATAGGACGTCCTTACCAAACTGGCCTTTGCTGGTGTTGGCTGTCCTCACACAGCCATTGGCTTCCCTCAGAGTAGCTGTTCTGAGAGAGGGCCAGGAGGATGTCAGGCCCCCTGTGTCCTTATCTTGAAGGTCACATGCCATCACGTCCCTGAAGAGTGTTTGTTAGAAGCCAGGCACTAAACCCAGCTCACATTCAAAGAGATGCTCCTAGAGGCAGGTGTATCATAAAATGTGTGAGCATGTTAAAAGATCAGCATGCCACCCCACCCTCCTAAAGGATGTCTCCTTTCTTGTAAAATGTGGTTTAACCAGCCGTCCTGGTACATTACCTTTTCCACTTGGCCATGTTGGAGTCTTCTGTGAGGCTAGCTCCCAGCAGCGTATCATAGGCATCCAGTCGACTTGAATCAGAGACCAATTCCCCATCAACTCTCCCTTGATTTTCCTAGTATTCGACTCACCTGCACCTTGCTGAGGACTGTATGAAGCATTACCAAGGCACCGTTGATAAACTCTGCCGAGTGGAGCAGGTAGGACTGTTTTCCTTCCCTCCTTGCAGGGCAAGTCTTCTGCCCTGCCCATTCATGCAGCTGAATTTTAACCTCTGACCTTGAACATCCTGCAGAATCATAGGATCTAGAGGAGGGAGAGCCTGCGATCTCTGGTTGTCTCAGCTTTGGAGCCAGTTCAGCTCTTCTCTGGAGGGTAGGGCCTAGATTGATCTGGAGTGCTGTGCCATTTGGATTTTGCATGCATAGCTCTTTCCAAAGGCTCCGTTTTCCCTGGAATGGCAGAAGAGAGTCCTGTGGCTTTGGGGGCCTGACAGTGACAGGGCCAGATGCTTATTCTGTTACATCTTTCTCCTGTTATGGCCAAACCAGCTTTGGAGTTTAGTACTTAGGAGAGTGGGAATCCTCCCAAAGCCTTGCTGATCACCAGCGTGGAAACTTGTGATTGGAGTTCTGGCTGTCGGTATATTCAGTGTGCTCCACTTCCTTCCCTAATCTGTTAAAGGGAACTCAGCACTGACGTATTTTACAGGGGTGTTATGTGGAGAACCAAAGCCCGACTCTTCATTCTTGAAGTGTGACAATATTACTAAATAACGTGGCAACTGTCTTTGTTGTTGTTTGATTTGTGTGTGCGTGTGTGTGTATGTGTGTGGTGTTGAGCTCAGACCCAGAGGCCCAGCATGGTACCACACACTCTTTTAATCCTTACACTCAGGATGCAGAAACAAGCAAATCTCTGTGAGTCTGAGCCTAGCCTGGTCCTTATCCTTAGTTCTAGGCTAGCCAGAGCTACATAGTGAGACCTTGTCTCAAAAAAAGAAAAAAAAAGAAAGAAAAGAAAAGTGATGAGACCTCGCATGGGCTGACCAGGCCCTCCAACACTGAGCTGTATTCTCAGCACCTGAGTGTCAGCTTCTAAGGGAAGGGAGAGGAGGACATCAGAAGGTTCTGATGGTTCATCAAAACACCAGGCCTGTAATCCCAGTTACCTGAGAGGCTGAGCCAGGAGGAAAAAGGGTAAGGACAACTTAATGAGACCTTGTCTCTAAATAAAAAGTGAGGAGAGGGTGGGGATCTCACTCAGTGACAGACCACTTACTTAGCATTTTTGAGGCTCTAGGTTTGACCTCCACTATACTCCCCCCCACCAACAAAAAAAGATTCTAAAGCCTCAGCTAAAGTCTCTTTTTAAAAAAAATATTTTATTATTTTTATTTTATGTGTATGAGTGTATTGCCTGCATGTATGTGAGTGCACCTGTGTCATGCATAGTCTCTTCTTTTAATAGAAAAATATCAACTCGGACTGGAGAGATGGCTCAGCCGTTAAGAGCACTGACTGCTTTTGCAGAGGACCTGGGTTCAGTTCCCAAAACCCACCCATATGGTGGCTAACAACCATCCATAACTCCAGTTCTGGGGGAATCCGACACCTTCTTCTGACCTCTGCGGGTATTACATAACATGGGTACACCACATATGCAGGCAGTACATTCATACACATAAAATAAAAATAATAAATAAAATATTAGAAAAAAAGAAAAATAGCAACTCATGCTCTCAGTGTAGAGCTGAGATTCGAATCCTTGACTTGTGACAGGCTTGGCACAGGTTTGCATGCCCTGTCTGACCAGGTGTTGACTCAGTTAGAAGGGAAGCAGCCCTCTTCTTCCTAAAGTGTATCCATTTCTCAGGCAGTCTCAGCAAACCTTCCCAAAGAGCTCAACCAGACAGGAAGCAGGTTATGCCTAGTCAACAAGAGTTCAAATTTAAGCTAGGTATGGTAACCTTTAATTTCAGCTCTGGGGAGGCAGAGGCAGGTAGATTTCTGTGAGTTCAAAGCCAGCCTGGTCTACTTAGAAAAAAAAAAGCAAATTTAGACAGTTTTGGAAGTGCTTATAAACGTTAAGGAAATGTTAAAAGTATTGAATTAGTTGCATCTCACTGGGTTTACAGCTGTAATAGGGGCTCTGAGACGGCTCAGTGCTTAAAGGCACTTCTTAAGCTTGACAACCTGAGTTCTATCACCAGAATCCATGTTAGGAAAGAACCAACTCATGCAAGTTTCCCCTGATTCCACGTGCATTGGCACAAGTGTATGTGGCACAAGTGTTACATACACACACACAACACACACACACACACACATAAATAAATAAATAAATAAATAAATAAATAAATAAATAAATAAATAAGTGTTTAAAGAATCGGTGTTAAAAAAGAAGAGAAGTGTACTAGAGTCTGGCCTGCTGAGCACAAGGCTGCTGGGGTGCTGAGGAGCCAGAGAGGAATCCTACCTCCTCAGACCACACCTAGAAAGAGACCCTTAGTTGTGAGTCGGCATTTGTGAGAGCCCTGGGGTGAGTAATAGGAACCTCAGACATCCTCCTCAGGGCCACAGAGAAAGTGACCGTGTGTCTGTGAGGACAAGAGCAGACACTCTGGGCTGGCTGAGGGCAGTGTGCGTGCCGAGACATGAATGTCGCCTGTGGTGTGTGCTGTGCTCTTGTCAAGTTTCCATCCCCCGTTCTCTGTCAGCCTTTCTGTCCTCCATCTCCTGGGTTTGAATCTGTAGGTTTGAGAGTCTCCTCCACCTTTTTTTTTTCTCTTTACCCTTTGAAAAGTCATAGGAAGTTAAAACCAGAGGTTAAAATTCAGAGTAGTTAAACTGCACTCTGTTTAGAGAATTAGAGTGGAAAGAATCCAGCCATACAGAGGCCTCCTGAGATGCCAAAGTGTCCATGGGCAGGGAGTGATCCCCTGATCCTTTTCAACCCTGATCCCTCAGCAGGGCCATGCATTTCACAGGCACAGGTACCTGGTACCACCTTGCAGGGGATAGCCCGTCTTTACCCAAGGTGGCCAATCACTCACGTTTCTGATTTGGAAAAGCAACTCAGGGCTTTCATGCATAGGAATCCTAGGGACACTATGGCAGCCATTGCTGGAGGAAAACTGCCCACAGCCTGCCTCAGTTGGTCACACCACAAAGCCAGGCATTTATAGGTTGTGAATTATCTGAGAGCTACCATCTGGTCAGACTGTCACCAGAAACAGGGCCAGTGAGGTGTGTTTTCTATAGGATCTGGCTATGGGCACAGATGCTGAGGGGGAGAAGATCAAGGACCCCATGAGAGCCATCGTCCCCATCCTGCTGGATGCAAACGTCAGCACTTACGACAAGATCCGCATCATTCTTCTCTACATCTTCCTGAAGAACGGTAAGGAGGGACAGGAGGGAGAGGAGGGGATGCATAGGCAGAGAAAAGCAGGTGGAAAGTGGCTTAGAAGGCCTGGGAGGGAGCAGGAGCTCCAAGAGGCTCCTCATGTGTGGGCCTAACTGGGGCCGGGTCCGCTGCACCAGAGGCTCAGTCTCCTCAGCAACCCTGAGCAAACAAGGAACATGTGACGTGGAGGGGCCCATGACTGGGGAACAGGTTGCTGTTTGGTTTTTGGGCCAGTTTGCTAGCTCAGCCTGCCAGATGTTTCCAACTTGCCTCTCATTGACAACCACTGGTGTTTAGCCTGTAATCCTTTAAGAGGTTAAGACAGGGAGATCATGAGTTCAAGGCCAGTCTCAGCTTCAAAGTGAGTTTGAGGCCAGCTGGACTGTGTAAATCTCTGTCTCAAAAATAAATAAATAAACAAGAATTGAAAAAAGAATTGTTTTTCACCCACATCACCATATAAAAGACAGTAAGTCTCTCCTGTCCAGTGTGGCTTTGTTGTAGAGTCAGGGTGGTCAAGGACTACTGGGAAGCCAGGTGGACAGAAGCAGATTGGGAGGGGCAGGTGCCGATGGTCAGCTCTCAGCTCGAGTGGCTAGAGTAGACCCGAAAGTTTTATTTTGACCCCTTCTTAGATGTGATTGATAGATCACTGCCCACAACCCTGAGGCTGACAAGGGAGGACATTGACTGCTCATGGGGGTGGAGACAGCAGGGGTTAGGTGTACTGACCGCATGTTTGTTTCTCAGGCATCACTGAAGAGAACCTGAACAAACTCATCCAGCATGCCCAGATCCCCCCGGAGGACAGTGAGATCATCACCAACATGGCTCACCTCGGCGTGCCCATCGTCACAGATGTAAGGGCCAGTTTGTAGGCTGGCAGAGATGGGGTCTGGCATAGTCTATCTTCTCCACATTTGTGATTGTAGCTTTTTAGAGTGCAGCCACATGGGGCCCAGCGTGGTGGGACATGCCTTTAATTCCAGCACTAGGGAGGTAGAGGTAGGCAGATCTCTGTGAGATTGAGGCCAATCTGGTCTATATAGGAAGTTCCAGGCCAGCTGGGGCTGCAGGGAAACTCGGAGAGAGAAAGACAGAGACAGAGACAGAGAGAAAATATGAATCAGAGATGGGGGGACGAGGATCAGTGAAACAGGTGAAAATCAGGAGTCACATGGTCACTAAAGCTGAGCTATCATTTCTGAGCTAGTTCAAAACGGGTCACTTCACTTTCCTCTGCCATATCTCGAGGTAAGTGTGGCCTGCCTTTGGGCACCTCAGGCTCAGCACCTCCCAGAGGATGGCAACACCAGTCAAGAGAGCTGTTTGACCACCTCCATGTCTTTGGCAGTCGGGTGACTAAAAGCCACACCAGGCAGATTGTTCAGAAGCCTGGGCTGCAGTGTGCTCAGAGAGAACAGGCAGGTCCTCCAGGATCCTTTAGGACACTCCTTGAACTCCAGGTGGAGGAGCCCTACTGCATGTTTCCACCTGCAAGCAGGCAGCCCCTGGAACAGAGCTGGCAAAGCCAACTGGGAGTCTCCAGGAGGGACCAGGCTCCACTGCTGCTCATCAACAGCCGGCAGCTGATGGGCGTTGGTGTCCTTAGAGCCTGGCTCACAGAGGGACCAAAGCAACAGAACTGATTCACTCAGCATGACCCGTGCTATTGGCATGAAGCAAAAAACAAATCGCATATAACCAGTATAATCTCCTGTAATAGAAAACTACCCAGGCTGACCTGTGTAGCCCAGACTGGTCTTGAATTCATAGCAAGCCCCTGCTTCAGCCTCCCAAGTGCTGGGATTACAGGTGTGAGCCACCATACCAATGTGGATTTTTTTGTTGTTGTTACACTTACATATTTGACCGCCAGTTGCCATTTTTCATTACTGAAGAACCACATTTGCTCAAATCTCCCTTGTTTTCCTAGTTTCTTAAAAGGCATACATTTTGAGGCCATTCTGGGCAAAATTTCTCCCTTATTACTCTTTGCCAATGCCGATTCTGAAATGGGTCATTGAGAGAATGTCTAGAGGCCACAGAGACCCAGGGGAGCCTGACCTTGTGTGTGTTTGCATTCAGTCCACACTGCGCCGCAGGAGCAAACCAGAGCGGAAGGAGCGCATCAGTGAGCAGACCTACCAGCTGTCACGATGGACCCCCATCATTAAAGACATCATGGAGGTCAGTGCTCGGGGTGGGCAGCAGGAGCTAGGGCCCAGGCTCCTCAGCACAGGGCCCAGGCTCTTCAGCACATGGCCCAGGTTCCAGCACCTCTGCTTGCAGGTGACAGTGGCATCCGTGTGTAGTTCCCTTGAGGATGAGCACCCAGAGCTGTCAGCACCCCCAGAGCCCCTTGCTCCTGAACAACTCTGAGGTTGCCACATGGAGACCCCAAGAGCCATTTGCCTGCTGCTTCCATCTCGGGAGTCTAGTCCCCTGCTGTAGAGGTGCCTCAGTGTACAGGATCCTGAAGAGCCAGGTCCATCACAGCATCTCAAGACTCAGATGAGAAGCACACACATTCCACTGGGGAGCATGGTTGTGCTGTGTCACACCTCAGCCAGATGTGGGCCTTTGCAGGGGCTGCAGCCTGCCCTCCTCTCCTCCACTGCTCTACTCTGAGCCCTCCCCATCCCAGCAGACAGACCTACACTTTGTTGCTCCAAAGATGCTATTTACATATGCCCAATTTAGGGTCATCTATTTTTTTTTTTTTTTGAGACAGCCCAAGCTGTCCTCAAACTTACTATGTAGCCAAGGATAACCCTGAAGTTCTTCCTGTGTTTATCCTCCAAGTACTAGAATAAAGTCATACACCACCACACCCAGTATATGCAGCACTGGGGACCAATTCAGGGCTTAGTGCAGCTAAGGAAGCATTTTACCAACTGAGTTATGGCCCCAGCCTGGGGTCATCTTCTGATGGGACAATCCTGTCATCTTGGACACTGTGTCCTTGGCACAGAGCTGCATGCACAGAGTGTCTCCATGTTTGTTGGGGGACATGCCCTGTGGCCTTGCTCCCCTCCCTCACTGGAGCAGAAGGAGACCTGCAGAGTCCTACACTACTGGGTCTGTAAGGTTGGGTGAGGCAATCTTTAATTTCTGCACTTGATGGGCAAACATAACAGAAGTCCAGAGAATAGGGGCTTGCTCGGTTTCCGTCAGGAATCACTACTGGATTATAGACCAGAAGTGTCTTTGTGTTTATACAGTGAGTCAGTGCCCTCTTTTAAAAATCTCCACACCAAAAGCAGGAGTGGTTGTGAAGCGTCCAGGAACCATGCGCGCCTCTGCGTCGGGGGAAAGCAGCCCTCCTGTGTGCTGCTCCCCTGCCTCTGCCTCCACCCCCCCCGCCCCTCCTCCTGGTCCCCTAAGTAGGCCTATGTAGGCTTCCCCTGCTGCTCCTAAGAGGAATGTGGGTTTCTAGGCAGCAGGAGATGGCTGGAACCCTCCCACCAGACAATTAGCCCCTTGACAAATTGCAAGGGAGGCTCTGCCTGGGGCCTAGTTTCCACCAGGCTGACAGCACGTGTCAGGAATTTAGTGGACAGAATACAGTGTGTGTCCTCAATGGGTCACACATGGCATAAACTGCAAGTGAAGAGGGGAAAATGAATGCTTTGTATGTTTGGTGCTTAGACTTAACCTACATGTCCAGGCAGTCAGAGCATGTGTGGTGGCACCAGGCCTGTGCTGTGCCTGGTCCCCTGGTGGTGGCAGTAAGTGGGGGGAGGTAGTGGATGCTGCAGATGGCAGCCTGCTCTCTTGTCTTTCTCCACTCTAGGACACTATTGAGGACAAACTGGACACTAAACATTACCCGTATATCTCTACCCGCTCCTCCGCCTCCTTCAGCACCACAGCTGTCAGGTAAGCAGACATGGGGCAAGCAGCGCAGATGACTGTCTGCCTGAGAATGATATGAGATATTAGAGTCCTCCCACATCTCCCAATGTGGCCAGGGGCAGCAGGCCTACGCTCACAGCAGGCCACTCCACGCTGGCCTCTGGCTTTCAGTCCCTTATAAACTCACCATGTCTTCCCTCACTCACTCGTCCACCTCAACCACCCACCTCTTTGCTCATCTTTGAACGAGCCTGGCCCACTTGTGCCTCAGGACCTTTGCATTTGCTTTTCCCTGAAGTTATCTGCAGCTAGATAAGCCTTCCTGGTAGGGGTCCCCTTTAGTCTCCTGTAGGTCCGGTCCCATCAGTTGTTCCTCAAGCACCCTGTTTATGAGCACCAGCTTTCATAGCAACCCTAATGTGGAAACAGCCCAGGTGCTCACCAGCTGACAAGTGTGTAAACAGAATGGAGAGCTGGAGGGCGTGAGCTGGGCATAGTTAGTTGCTGCAGAGAGGACGGTCACCAGCACTGGATCATCACCTGCAGTTCTAGGCCTGACACTCTTTAGAATACGAGCCGCCCTGTCCCTTTTTTCTGGCATGTCCCACCTGTCTTTCCTCTCTTCCCTTCCTCTCTGTGACTTCATCCTCAGTCTTTGCTTGTGCCTGGGCAATGTGTCTGCAGTGGTACCTGTGGCATCGGCATCCCCTCCTCTGGCAGCAAAGGTGGAAAGGTCATTGCCAAACATGAAATAAAGTACAGCCTCCAAAGGCTGCCCCTGCTGGGCTGGTTGAAGACGACAGGGTACCAAACTGCACAAGGGAGTGATCCCCGGCTCTGCGGCCCACACAGTGCCCAGGTGCTTCCAGGCTGTCCTGAGTAGGGAATATGGGCAGAGGAATCTACTTAGGGAAGTCCAGGGACAGAGGGAGGCTGCTAGTAAGGCCACACTTCTCCAGCTCACCTGCTCTTTTCACCTCCTGAGTGAAGCCTGAGCAAGGCTCTGTGGCCTCTTGTTCTGTCCTGTGGCCCTCAGCAATTCTCCATCACAGCAAAGTTCAGACCTGTTTCTCTTTCACTTACCCCATTAGACTGCCATCTTAGTGGGTAAGCACTGTCCCAGGAAACACAGCGCCTGGAGGCCCGGCCCTCAGAAAGCTGTGCAGCACATGTTGGCTAGGGATCAGCATGCAGCCTGAGGTGGAGTCGGCTCTCCCTGCTGCTCGGTGCTACAGAGTCCCAGACAAGCTCAGGAACGTGCGTGATCTGAAACAGACATCTGAGTGAGTCAACAGGCACAGCTGCTGAGCCCCACATCGAACGCTACAGCTCAACCAGGCCTGTCTGTTGCCTGTGTGTTAGAGTGGTGGGGTCACAGCAGGACCCTGTGACTCCTCCAGGCAGCATCTGGGCTTGGCCAGCACTGACTAAGCATCTACTCTATTTTGGGATCAGGTGTGCAGAAGTATAACAAGCCAGTGTGGACGAAGGACTGGATACCGTGAGTGCAGACATAACTCATCTCTCTCCCTCTCCCCCCCCCCCACAGCGCCCGTTATGGACACTGGCACAAGAATAAGGCCCCCGGGGAATACCGCAGTGGCCCACGCCTCATTATTTTCATTCTTGGAGGCGTGAGCCTGAATGAGATGCGCTGTGCTTACGAGGTGACCCAGGCCAACGGCAAGTGGGAAGTGCTGATAGGTGAGCAAGGCATGAGTTCTGCAGGAGGAGCTGCCTCATCGCACTGTCACTCCATCCCATGCTTTGTGTCGCATTTTGTCTTGGGTCCTCCCTTACCCCAGCAAAACTTAGTCCTAGATAACAGTGTGGAAATGGCAGAGGCTGAGGTTGAAGGGACATGTCCACCCTACTGTGTCTCTTGCTGAAAGACAGCATCATGGGGTGGGAAGAACCTGGTCATAGGGCCTCAAATCCCACTGCCAAGTGAGGTCACCTCAAGCAAGTGAGCATGTCTGGAACCCATTTCCTTACCCAACAAGGCGGGGTTCATAACTCCCACTTGCGGCCTGGAATGGGCCAGAGAGGAGAGCTGCATATTCCCAGCTTTGGGTCTTGCACCACAGTTGCTCCGTGGACTTCAGGGAATCATTACTGTCCCACACCCCTCTGTTGGAGAGAGAGAGAGAGAGAGACAGCATGTGTGTGAATACAGCCTGAAACCCTAGCCTGGTGGCTGGACCTTTAAGAATTCCCCAGATAGTCCCCATCGCCTTCTGGTCTGCCACACCTTTCCTGATATTTCCCGTTCACTTCCACAAGAGAAGCTGCTGGTAGAAGCTGGTCTGTTGCAGCTGGAGGCCCTCCCCTGCTTCCTCTTTCCAGGAACGCCTACAGCTTCTATGGCTGGCAGAGAAAGGGCAAGGGAGGAAAACCCTTGGTTTCCAGATGTTCTTTTTCTCAAAACATTTGCACCTGCCCAGGAGTTGCTCTTGACATCAGTTGTCAGGAGACTGTCACAGATACTGCCCTGTCTGGGCGCGCCCTCTCTAGGCACACACACTGAGCAAGGCGTGAGGCCAGAGATCTTGGTCTCCCTTGGAAGGGGCGTGCTGAGCACCCAGTGGGCAATGATGTTCTTTAGTGCTACACGGGTTACATGTGTTCTGCCACAGAGGGGCCTCTAGCTGCTCCAGTGGAAAGGCCTCCCTGGCCCCACCCACAGGTGTCCACTTCTGCTCATAATCCCAGACATAGTCAGCTCACTAACAAGTGTCACTTTTGTTTATCCAATTTCGGATGACCAAATCGCAGCACCACCCCCACAAGCTGTCCAAGCAAGTAGGCCCCATAGACCGGTCTACATGGCTGCGTCTGAGTTCACCAAGACAGACTTGAAGCTGGCACCACCCTCCCGATACCACAGCCCAGTGGGAAGATTGTATGCCTCTCCCTAACTCCCACAGGCTTCCCTGGCCTAGTACCAGTCACCCTGTTCCCGGTTTTCCTGTCTATGTTGTAGGCCCCGTAATAATGCTGTCTGCTCCCTGGCTGCATATGTGTTGCATGAATGTGTTAGACGCTTCTGAATGCAAAACAGCTTTCCCGGACAGCAGCTGTCACAGCCAGGCTTTAGGTGTGAACCTTCCTTGTACCCTTTGACTCTGCCTTGAGGTTCCTGGTGGAAGGGGTGGGTGGAAACCCAGGGATAGAAAGCTGCCCATTGGGATCATGGAGGGGACTCCTGTGGACAGCCAACATCCGCTATGTAGCCTCATATGCTTTGTGCATGCCAGCACCGTGCTGCCTGTGTGTGTGCATGTGCGTGTCTGCTTCTCACCCTTCGTTGGCTGCATACACGGTAGGCCTAAGTTGGCATGCTCCTGTGACTACCTTTGTTCAAGCAGTCAGCTGGCCTCTGTTCTCCCACAGGTTCTACACACATTCTCACTCCCACCAAATTTCTCATGGACCTGAGACACCCCGACTTCAGGGAGTCCTCTAGGGTATCTTTTGAGGATCAGGCTCCAACAGTGGAGTGAGAGCCAAAGAAACAAAGTAAAAGCAGCTTATTACAGAGAAGAAACTCTTCTGCTCTGAAGGGCTTTCTTTGATTACTCCGTCACTCTTTTCTTTCTTTTCCCTTTTTACTTTATGATTTCTTTGATTTTTCTTTTACTGAGAAAATGCTTGCAGTTCTTAATGCCAATTGAAAATGTGTCCAGTGCTGCCTTCACACCCTGGGCTCCAACCTGCCAGCTCACTCATGCCTTGGGTGGCATGCTGCTCAGTCAGACAGCTGCAGGCCGCTGGGGTTAAACCCAAGTGACAGTAACCATGTGAATACTCTTCAGAGGATATTAAGTATTGAGGGATACTGGAGGCATAATGCCCAAGCCGGCTGGCCCAGGGTGAAGTGTGAGCACCCACAGGGCATATAAACGTCCTGCTATGGTGTAGTGGGAACTTGAGTGAGGCCGGTAGGGGACAACCACATGCAAAGGGCAGACACTGGGGAGATGCTCATGACTCCTGAGGACAAGACAGGCGTGTCAGGGAACATGAGAGCAGACTCCAGGCCAGTGGAAGACATAGGTGCAGACACCTTTTCCCAAGACTGGCACTTGCAGGGAATGAGTCCTCAGTGGTATGTGGCCTCCAGCCACCATGGACATAGTGACAGTGCTACTGTGAGATGAGCTTTGATCACACTCCTCTCTGCAGAAAGCTATGCTCATGGTCTTTTGCTTTCAAGACACTGTTTTTCTGCCAGCCTGGTGGGGCAGGCTGTGATCCCAACTACTCGGTAGGCAGAGGCAGGAGGATTGTAAGTTCATGGCCTGCCTAGGCCACAGATAAGTTAAAGCCTAGCCTGGGCAACTTAGCAAAATCCTGTCTCAAAACAAAAAGTAAGAAGAGGCCTGGGATATAACTCTGTGGTGGGCCATTTTCCTAGCAAGTGTGAGGCTTGGGGTTCAGCCCCCAAAAAAAGGAAGGAAGAGAAAGGGAAAGAATAGGTGGAGTTGTCTCTTCGCTCTCCTTTAGGTCTTTTGTGAGTTGAGTGGTCGTAACCTCTTCCACCAAGGCCTCTTGGTGAGATCTAGAGCCCTCAGGGAAAATCTGTTCTTGACACCCCATGCTTGTTCCCCAGGAGCACCTTGTCTGTTGGATGGACTATCAGATTCTCTTCCACATCGTCCTTCTTCCTCTTCCTCTTCCCCCTTTCCATGCTATAAATGTGTGGGGAACCTTCTGTGGAAGTGGCAGGCTTGGGCTGAAGCGCTCTGTCACAGTGATGGTACTTCCTCAATGTTGTGATATGTTCTGTCTTGGGCTCTGAAAACGTCCCTTCACCTCGGCTGAGATGTGACCCAGTGAGTGAGCCAGTGTGAGAGGCTGGTAAGCCGTAATGGGAAACCTAGATTGGGGGCCGGGGCTGGGCTCCGGCACCTCCCAGGAACACCCATGACTAAAGTAGCCATTGTGTGCACTCCCTGGCCCACAGCTTAGCAGAGAAGGCTGGATCGCCTTGCTCCAAAGTCTGGTCAGTACCTTGAGCTCTGACAGTCTGTAATTCGGGCCTCAGATCATGCCCACCTCTCCACCCTCCTCCTCCTGGTGGAGCTCTGGAGTGGCCCTTCAGAGCATGGACTAGGTAACACCAGAAGTGGGTTTGTTTAGTGTTCATCCCAAAGGAAGGAACAGTAGGCTCCTCCATTTATCCCACCTTCCCTGAGCAGCAGGACATTAGCTCCAGGACAGCAGCAGTGAGCCATGAAAGCAGGGCTGACCATGGCCCTGGGTCTTGGCTCCCACCCTGCCCATGTTCACCGTCCTCTGGAAAGCAAAGTCCAGCGGTGAGGTAAAACCATAGAGGTGCACATCTGTGACCCAGACCTCAGAAGATTGAGGCAGGAGGGTCTCAAATTCACGGCTAGCCAAGCCTACATAGGGAGAGCCTGTCTAAAAACATTAATTAAAACACATTGGGGTGTGGGGGGGTAGCAAGGCATAGAATAACACCAGTGAGGCCAGAGGCAAAGGGAAATCTGGCTTGCCTCTCCTATTGTAAGTATCCAGGTAACCAAAAGACAGAGCAGCGCAGACCCTTGGAGAGCCTCAGTTTTGTGGCAACTTACCACTTAAGAGATGAGGCCCGGCCATGAGGGAGTGTCCCCAGCAGGCATCACGCATGTCTAGCCAAGCCTACATAGGGAGAGCCTGTCTAAAAACATTAATTAAAACACATTGGGGTGTGGGGGGGGTAGCAAGGCATAGAATAACACCAGTGAGGCCAGAGGCAAAGGGAAATCTGGCTTGCCTCTCCTATTGTAAGTATCCAGGTAACCAAAAGACAGAGCAGCGCAGACCCTTGGAGAGCCTCAGTTTTGTGGCAACTTACCACTTAAGAGATGAGGCCCGGCCATGAGGGAGTGTCCCCAGCAGGCATCACGCATGTGCCTTGTTCTGTTTTCCAGGCTCCCTTCTCTCCAGTCAGTGAGGCACTCCCAGCTGTGGGTCAGAAGGCTCTTGACCACTGAAGGGCCCAGATTCCACTAAACCTCCAGCTACCCCTCCAGACTGCCCATGAGTGAAGTTGTCCAATTAGATTTTTGCTTGTTCTTATCTTGGCTGATGTAGGCCTGTAGCACCAGTCACGAGGCATGGCCCTCAAGCCATCAAAACACGAGACCTCACAGGTTAGATTAGACCTGTTAGGCATGTGCTACTATAAGAGTTGTTTTATGCTTTGATATCGAATATTCTGCTGTATTCTAGATTGCAGCTGGTTAGTTTTGTTTGCGGAGACTGGTTTGGATCTGTGCTTAGAACCAACAGTCAGCTGCTATTAAGTGCCCCTTGTCTGTCCCCCTTTTAAGGATGGCTTCCCTCCCAGGAGGCCCAAGGGAGCTCCGAATCGAGACCTGCCTCCAGTCTTTGGGCCAGCCTACCCTGAGCAGGCTCACCACTGCCCTGGCATTGAGTGTTCCCACCTGTGGGATGAGTGGAACAGCCTTCACAGTCCAGATCTGCTGATGGCCCAGCTCACTGCTCGTTCCCACTCTCAGGGACCTCTTAGGCAGCTAATCAGGGAAGACTAGACCAGCCAGTCTTAGAACTCTGGATTTTCAGTTCTTACCAGAGCTTGCTGTCTGTCTCAGGCTTCGGAGCTTCAGATGGTCATTAGATGGGCCTCCAACTCATTTTCAGAGCCCACTGCTGGCATTTCATAATCACCCAGTTATGTGGGCTGGAAGAGCTCTCATCTGGAAGGCTGACACAGCCAACCACTCGGGGTTCAAAATGGGATCCTCTGCGGCTTCACAGGCACACCCAGCTTATTTTGCAGTGTTGATGGTGCAAAGCTTGAGCTGCAGTTTTGAGACAATGCAGATTGTTGGGTGTCAGGAACTGGCTTTGGGGTGACCTGGATTAATAGCATCCAGACTTGTCCCTTTAAAGAGACCCAGCAAGTGAAGGCTGGGAATGGCCCTGTTCCCAAGGGTCTGGGGCCTCATTGGCTCCTTCTAAGGTTTAGTCCTAAACTTGTTCTTCAGTAAAGACTAGGAAGGTCAGACAGTGATAATATCAGAAAATTCTAGAGCATGGGTTCCTACCCTTGCTTTGGACTCCCCAGATCCCTGAAATGACATGTGAGAAGTCCAGGAGCACTTTGGAATAGGCATTGGACCATAGGAACCCCTTTGAATTTGTTCTCACAATCAAAGCAGCCTTTTGGTTTCCTGGCTGGCTTATTGGCCACTTTCTACACTGGATTCAGAGGCTAGCTTTCAATGTCCAGACACACAGGTTGCATAAAGTGGAGGTCTGGAAGACCCTCACTGGCAGGTCATTCTTCAGAGTTTGGAGCAAGCCTTATAACATGCATGTCCTCCCTCCCTGGTACCACAGCCTTTGACCTCCCTTAGGACTACTTGGAAGGTTGGCAAGCTCACTAAAATGAGCATACTTCAGTGGCGTGGAGCCTTATGAAAACACTCAGGGATGCTCCTGACAGTCATATCACCTCTGCTTAAGGAGCCACGAGTCTGCAGGATAAGGAAACGGCTTTAATGCACAAGGCTCAGGGCAGAGTGCATGTTCAGGCCATCTCGCTTGCTGACCGTGGGCGGGGCCAAGGTGAGAGAGGAAGCCAGGACTTGAAGTGCAGGGAGTAGGGCACTGGGGCCTGTCTCTCACACTTGAAAGTGTTGTACACTTTCTGCTGGTCTAGACTGACTAGGGAACACCCAGGTCAGCTGAGCAAGTGGTAGTCAGAGGCACAGCCACAAAACCTTCTTTTGCCTGCCCTTGGAATGGAAATCTGGAGGTAAGGTCTCGGCTCCCTACTCCCGTGAAGGCCTGGCCCTTCCAGGTCCCGAGGGAGGCACATTTTCAAGTACGGATCTTTTGTTCAGTTCTTCTTTCCCACCAGGACCTTTCCTTGGTGTCCACTGCTGCATGCATGCAGGCCTCATGCTCACACACTTCTGTTCTGTTTGATTAACTCCATGTCCAAACTACATGGTCCATGCATCATTTTTAGTGCGCTTAGATCTCTCTCCTTATGAAAAGGGCCTTCATTTCTTTATTTTCTTATTTTTCCTTTTTTTATTTTTTATTTTTTTACTTTTGCACTAGAAGTGTATCTGATTCCATTAGCTTACACTTTTGCAAGCATTTCTAATCTCTTACAATGCCGGTCTCTACAAGGTAAGGCCTCAGGTCCCCGCCCTTTCCCTCTCACACCTGAGGTCCCCCCACCACACCAGCACCAGCCTGCTGGCTCCCCAAAGTCAGCGGATCCCCAGGCTCTGCCCACCCATGGCCTCCCTGCCGGGCAGGCCCCATTCTTTCTACACATAGGCCCCTGCCATCCCTGCCCTTCTCTGCTGTTGTCTGGAATGTCTCTCCTTGGCTTTACCTGGAGTTCAAGAGGATGAGCAGAGCACAGCCACCTGGCAGACCGCCTGGGCTCTGATGGAGAGGGGGGTTCCTAGGGTCGGCCTGGGACCCTGCCTGAGCCAGAGGATGTGTTTTGCTTAGCCCTAAATGTCTCCAAGGCCTATTGTGACAGGACCCAAGGGTTCCATCCCATTCCCTTCCCAGTTTCCACTGGACCCAGACTAGGGTTGGGGGGAATGGAGACCAGGGGAAAGATGCCCTGGGCTGGAACAGGTAGGTGAGCTCACTGTCTTTCTCTGCCTCCCCAGGATCCACACACATTCTCACCCCACAGAAACTGCTGGACACGCTGAAGAAACTGAACAAAACAGATGAAGAAATAAGCAGTTAAAAAAAACCAAGCTGCCCCTCCAAAGCCCCAGCCCCCTGCCCACAGTGCTCCTCAGCTCCCCAGCGCGACGCCTCGGTTATTCTGCTCCTTCCCAGCCCTGCACGCCCTGGCTGCCCTGTCGCCGCGCTGCATTCATTCCCGTTCCCGTGTGCGAATGACACCCTCTCGTTTGAAACAAGAGAGTAATGCGTTGTTTTCAAAAAACGAGGATCTTCCATAGTACCCCACGAAACGTTCACATGCAAGCGCCACACGGCACAGGTGTTGGAACTCTAGACCGAGTAGACTCCTCCCCTTATTTATGAGCCCATGACCTTGTACATAGCCCCGTGTGCCACGTGTGCATACTGCTTGAGTATGGAAAGGTAGATGTGTGGATATTTCTCAGAGCTTGTTTGGGCTTGTTTCTGTTCTTTTTGGGAATCATGAAATGTCTGTTCTCAGGTGTCCCGCACTGAGGAGTAATTTGTTACCCTGTCTCCAGTTCCTACCCTAGCTGCCAGCTCTCATCCATGCAAGCTGGGAAATGACAGTGGTATACACTTCAGGAGGCTGGGATAGAGCTGACCTTTTTTATTTCTGCAGTGGCTCATGCCCTAATGTTGTAGCTGTAGGTGGCCAGGCTGGGTGCTGGCCAGTGTTCCCTCCAGAGTCTGGTACTGTGTCTTGACCTGTGTCCACAGTACTGTAAGCCTGAGTGAAGGGCCTCCAGCCTGTCACCATCCCTAGACTCTGCCCAGCACCCTCGATTCCTCGAGAGGACTTAGGCCTGACCCTCCTGTCCAGCTCTTCCTCCCCTAGGCTCCACTCCAACACCACCTCTCAAAAGGGTCAGGCTGGGTAGAGATCAAGGCTCAGGAATAGATTGGAACACATGGGTCTCTGCACTTTGGCCAAAGGGTGCTTTGCTAGAAGGGTTGCAGGCCTGAGCAAAGGGCTTTGCTGACCCTGCCTCCACCCAGCAGGTGACGTGTCAGATTATCCTCAGTTTAAGATGCTTCATTCATCTTTATTTTGTGTAGTGTGCAGTCCTATGTCATTGTGGTTGTAAGAGAAAAATGATCATTTTATTCTCTGTATAAAGACGTAGCTGTATAAACGTAGCTAGCTGTAAAGTAGAAATTCAAGAAGTAAATGCTAGGATGGCTCACATCCTCAGGACGCAGCAGCCCCCAGGTCTGGGAGTGAGCACACTGCTCATCCTGCTGCTGACGTCATGAACTATAAAGACAGTGGAAGTCACAAAAAATGTCCTAGCCCAACACCCCCACCCTCTCCCTCCCGCAGACGTGTGTGTATTACCGTGTCTCGTGCTGTTGTTGCAAATGTGGTGTAAGCCTTCCTTTGCGGCGGCTGTGTCCTCCCATGCGTTAGATGAACTGTGGCCCTCCCCCCGTCCTGGCTCTGGAATCTGCCCCACACTCAGACTAGTTTTCGGGTGGCCGCCCTGGGGCCCTTCCTCCCTTCCGCCGTCTTATTTCCTTAGGACAGAAACATAGGAACTCGCATAGGCTTCGTTCCCTGCTGCCGCTTCTTGGGCCTCTCCCTCTGGTCAAGCGATGCTCATGCTTCAGGACTGCGTGTGTCGAACATGTGGGGTTTCCTTTCTGTTATTTATATAAATAATTTATCAAAAGGATATTTAAAAAAACAAAGCTAGTCTGTCTTGAAACCTGTTTACCTTGAAATCCTCGGAATATCAGTGTTTGGCAGTAGGAAGCACAAACATGTCTCACTCTGTACCATTCTGTACTAAAGCATTGGCGTCTAATAAAGACATCAGTGCCCACTCATGGTGTTCAGGCCAACTCTGGACTGGTTTTGCTTTGGGGACTGAAGAAGATGGTGTCCCGCCCCTACGGCCAGCTGAGGCTCAGAGTCTTTGAATCTAGGTGACCATGGCTTTAATTAGGTCTATATCTGTCTCCCATTTGGGGACAATCCATGAAACGTCTCTGGCCTCTTGACAGTAAGAGGATGCTTCCTGGACATGAGGCATGAAGCATGTCTGGGCGGCCTCTGCCTGGAATACCACAGGACCCTACTGTCCTCAACTTGAGCACATGGTGCCAGTGTATTTAAGGCACACAGGTGTCAGACCCATCCCAGCTCACAAGTATAAAGAATTTCCTTCCAGAGTAGAAGCTGGTGCCTCTGCTGCAGGCTTGGAACCTTTCTGTGATCTGGGGAGACTGCCCTGAGGTCAGCCCTATGGGAAAGAGTCCAGCTCAAAGTTATCAGGAAACCTGCTAAGCCATCAGGCACAGGGCTGTGGGGGGTCTGGAAGAATATCCCTCAGTCACTCATTAAATGCTGCTCTATTGGGGTTTGACTTGGGGATATGGCTTGTGCCTAATCATGTGTTGGGAGCCCCACCCTCAGTGGAGGTCCTGGGAGTTGCTGATGGGACATTTCAGAGATGGGGTATGGAAGGACATGACAAGGTTATTGAGGGCCCTGCCCTCAGAAGGAATTGGTACAATTCCCTGGGGACTGTTCAGAAGTCAAGCCTGATTTCTCCCTGCTTTCATCACCATAAGATTTCTCTCTCATGTGCTCCTACCATCAGGCATGAAGTAAGGCCCCTGGACCCTAATAAACAGCTGGATAAGCCAGGCCTGGTGGCATAGGGTTATTATCCTAGCTACTTAAGAGACTGGGGGAAGAGACTTTTATTCCAGAGCTACCTGGACTATGGGGTGGGGTGGAGGGGGTGCTGAAGAGATGGCTCATTGGTTAAGATGACTTGCTGCTCTTCCAGAGGACCCAAGTTCAGTTCTTAGCACCCATTTCAAGCAGCTCACAACTGCCTAAACACTACAGCTCCAGGGGATCCAATGCCCTCTTCTGGCCTCCAAGGGTAGGCACCTGCAGTTATGTGCACATACATACTTGTACACACACAGGCATACCCATAAAAATAAAAGCTTAAAAAAATATGTTTTAGCCAGGCATGGTGGCCCATGCCTTTCATCCCAGCACTCAAAAAGCAGGCGGATTTCTGTAAGATCAAAGGTAGCCTGGTCTACATAGCAAGGTCCAGACCAGCTGGGGCTATAGGGAGACCCTGTCTCAAAAAAAATTAAAAATCTAAATGAACCTCTTTATATATTACTCAGTCTCAGGTATCTTGTTACAGTAACAGAAAACTAGTTAAGACATCACTGCATGGAGGACTCTATCCACCCTAGGCTAGTTGGTGGAACTTACATCCTGCCCCCTGCAAGACTTGCCTTGTAATCAGGCAGTTGTGAAGACGGCCATCTAGTAACCAGGCCAGGCCCCTTTTGATACTGATCTGTCAAATGGGTCCTCTGTTGTTCCACACTTGAGGAAGCTGAGACTCAGAGAGAAGCAGGACTTCATAAAACTGTTGAGGGGGGCGGGGTTCAGACAGCCGTCATGGCACAGCACCAGAATGCAGCCGTATGGGATCCAACACTGGAACTTTTGCGTTCTAAATTATTCTAAACCAAATTTACATTAAAGCGAAATGTAAATGCTGTTTATTTCGGTCCCTCCAGGCTATGGAAATGTCTCTTTAATCTCTGGTTGTTTGGGAGGGGGTGTTTGCTTGTTTTTTTGTACAGTTTTGGTTTTTATTGATTGGTTGGTTGATTGTACATGATGTGTGTGTGTGTGTGTGTGCGCACGCGCGCACATTGATAGGCATTCTCTGTTTGTGTGGGAGTGTGTGTGTGTTTGTGTTTTTGTATAGTTTTGGTTTTTTTTGATTTGTTGGTTTATTGTACATGATGTGTGTGTGTGTGTGTGTGTGTGTGTGTGTGTGTGTGTGCGCACGCGCGCACATTGATAGGCATGTGGAAGTCAGAGAACAACTTTTCATGGTCAGTTTTCTCCTTCCACCACGTGGACTCTGGGGATCTAACTCAGGGTGTAAGACCTGTGCAGCAGGCGCTTTTACTCACTGAGCCATATTGTTGGCCCATATTTTTTTATTTTGACATAGTCTGGATCAGTTGCCCAGGCTGACATTGAACTTATAATCCTCCTACCTCTGCCTCCCAACAAGCTGTGATTACAGGTATGGTCACAATTGGCTACCCTGATTGTTTCCGACATCTCTTGGCCCAGGTGCGTCATCATTTCTCCACCCCATCCCACCAAACAGCACAGAAGTGTTTCACTCTCCCACCAAAGCCCTGGTTCCCAGTGCTTCTCAGCTCAGAAGGAGCCTGTGGGCCCTTTCTCCAAAAGCCCCCTGTCCTGCTGCATATCCTCAGAGAAGATGCTGTCGTAGGCCAAAGTTTGTTCTAAGCACAAACTAGCCCAGGAACCCTGGGACCCAGGTCATGAGCTGTGGCTGCTCTGTCTTTCCAGAGGCTCAGGTCTAGGACAGGGCTTCAACAAAGGTGCCAAGGGGCTAAACCCTGCATGTGTGTGACACCAGGCATCCATCCTGTGGAAGCTGAATGAGTGTCGCTGGGAGACTGAGGGCAGGTCTGAGTGCAATCCTCTCTGGTTCTCTGCACCTGATTGCAATGGACATTTTCTCCTGTGCCATCCCTCAAGGAACAAGTTGAGCTCCAGTCATAGAAATCCCAGTAGCAGTCAGTCATTACTGAGCCTGGTAACCAAAGAATAGACACACTATGAACTAAAAAAGCCCACCATGCTTGGTGGAGAGGCCAGTGCTGAAAGGACAGAGCCTTAAGTGGGCCACAGGCTATGTGAGACACAGCTGCGAGCCAAGGGATCTGCCAGCCAGAAACCTGTGCCCCCACCCCAGCAAGCTGCCTCCCCAACCCCAGGGGCTTCCCCTCCCTACAGTGCTGCAACCTAAGCCAAAGCAGCAGAAAGGCCCGTGTGCCTGGGGTCAGCACTGGGCAGATGGATCACTACCACTAAGCCTTCAGGATATCCCAGGACCCCAGTCCGGAAACCTCCAATATAAAATGTTCTTTCTGGGGCTTGAGAGATGGTTCAGTGGTTAAGAGCTGTAGCTGCTCTTGCAGAGGACCTGGATTTGATTCCTGTCATCCACATACAAGCTAACAGCCATCCATAACTCCAGTTCCAGGGGAATTCGACACTCTTCTGACCTCCATGGGCATTGGCAACACGGTGCACTTACATACATGCAGGCAATACACTCATACACATAAAAAAAATTTTTTTTAATGTTCTTTCTTCCCACAGTGCCTCTCATCCTGCTTTGAGTGACCCCAATAAAACAACTCTGCTGTGTGACTGTATCACCAGAGAATTAACAGGATGGTCCCTAGGCACTTCCTGGCCTGGAAGCTCTGTGATTGGGTTCTTCTGGTCCTCCCCCCACCCCCAGCCTCCATCTTCTGATTGGCCCAAAGGGATAGGCTGGTGATTTCTAGGGCCCCTGGCTACTGTAATTAACTTCCCACATCATTTATTTCCACTTGAGGGAAGGACAGGTCCTTCTGGAACCCAAAAGTGTGCTCAAGAACCTGGCAGCATCCTCTAAAGGCCATGGCTGAGGTTCTCCGTAGTGCTGTCTGCCTTGAAGTAGGGGGCCAGACACAGACTCCCTCCAGGAACAGGGCAGGGGCCCTTTAAAACCCAGCCTGGCTTACTCAGGCTGTTGCTATGTACAGGACCAACTTCCTTAGCAACTGCCTGACCTCTTAAAGGGGCCTTGGAGGAGTGGTTGCCCTCAGCCATGGCTCCCAAAAAGAAGCTGAACAGAGGCAAGGAGTTGGAGGTCAAGAAGAGAGGGGGGAAGAAGGGTGCCAGCACTACCGTGAAGGAGTCGACCATGGTGGAAGAGCTGAAGGAGTTCTATCACAAGCAGATCCAGGACCTGGAGGACAGGCTGGCCCGGTGGGTGGGCAGCAGCACGATGCTGCTGGGTCAGAAGCCCACATGGGCTCAGACAGAGACCTTAGACCTGTGTTCTGACCGCCTCTGAGATGTCAGGACCCCCTCCCTCCTCATGCCCCCCCTCCGCTGCCCCGCCTCAGTTTCCTCATAGGCAAACTCAGGTGGTGGTAAACTCTGAGAAGTAAATGTATTTCCCCTCTCCTTCACAGCTCTCAGAGCCCCGGAACTACACCACTAATCAGCAGCTCAACCCCAGGCAGCTCCTACCTCCCTCCAGCCTAATAGGATCCTCAGTGTAAAAAGGGAGTAATCAGTAGGATGAATTGGAAATGGCTCCCCCTGGTGACCAGGTAGCCCACTCCACCCTCTCTGGACACGGTGCTCATGACTTAGTCAGGGACTAAGGCCCAGTTGTTTCTCCATGCTATGGCTCAGTTTCCCTAGATGTATTTGTTTTGACACAAGGTCTCCCTCTGTAGCCCATGCTGACCTGGAATATATAGCCCAGGCTAACCTCAAACTTGTGGTGATCCACCTGCCTCAGCCTCTCAAGTGCTGAGATTAGAGCACCCCACCACACCCAACTCAGTTTTCCCCTAAGTGGAAATGAGAAAGGTAGCCCCCTCTAGTGTAACACTCCATCTTCTGGCTGGCTTTGTGTGGGGCAGAGATGGTGGGGAAGGGACCCTTTAACATTTCACTAGAGATGTTACATTTGCCCATCTTGTTTCTTCCTTAAAACTAGTTTCTAGGGCCAGTGAGATGGCTCAGCAGCCCTTTGCACCAATCCTGATGACCTGAGCTCCATCGCTGAGACAGACCCACATGGTAGAGAGAGAGAACTGATTCTCATAGATTGTCCTCTGTCCTCCATTCATGTATGATGGCATGCACACAATCACAGAGTAAACAAAATTTAACAAATATATATGTACACACACACACACGGTTTCTATTCTGGGCATTGTGTTTTATAATCTCAGCACTTGGGAGGCAGAGGTAGAAGGATTATTCCATGTTCAAAGCCAGCTTAAAAGGCTACTCAGAGGCCGGGCGTGGTGGCGCATGCCTTTAATCCCAGCACCTGGGAGTCAGAGGCAGGCAGATCTCTGTGAGTTCAAGGCTAGCCTGGTCTACATAGGTCCAGGACAGCTGGGACTACAGGGAGACCCTGTCTCAAAAAAAATTAGTAAATAATAAGAAGCTAGCTTGCTTTCAGTTATGAAGCACCAGCCCCAGTCCTAGGGTAACCCTTAAGAAGATGAGGAGGTGGCTGGAGAGACAGCTCAGTAGGTGAAGCACTCACCATGCAAGTGCAAGGTCTGATCAGATTCCCAGCACCCACATCAATGTTGTAATCCTAGGGCTCAGCAGGCACACGGCAGTTTCCCCAGGAGCAAGCCAGCTAACTAGACTGATAAATCAGTGAGCTCTGGGTTGGAGTCGGAGACACTACTTCCTTTTCCCACAAAGGCAGCCACACCTGGAACCACACTGTACAGAGCACTCATTCGGAAGACACTGGTAGACCCGGATGTGGTGGCGCACACTTTGAATCCCAGTACTCAGGAAGCAGAGGCAGGCAGATCTCTGCGAGTTCAAGGCTAACCTGGTTGACACAGTGAGACCCTGTCTCAAAAAACAAAAATATAGTGGTTAAATAAGTTATTATGTGGTGCTCTGAAAATATTCACAAACATTCCTTGAACCAGGACACCAGATAGAGGGCATCGGGAAACACATTTATCAGTTATTAGGTGCTTACAATTTGCCAAGCTGTCAGTCAGGGCCTCAGCAGCTTCAGAGGTGGAGGTCAAGGGTCTGCTAAGTGCAGAAGGGTTTGACCAGCAGATCAGGCTGACTTCAAGGTGGGCATTGTCGCTCAGAGTCTCAGCTATCAGGTCAGACTGACAGGGGATTAATTTTTTAAAAATATTTATTTTTGTTTTTTGTGTATGTGTATTGTCTGTATGTATGCAAATGCACCGGTGTTGTGTAACGCCCACAGAGGTGAGAAGAGGGCATTGGATCCCCTGGAACTGGAGTTACAGATGGTTGTCATCTACCACGTGGGTGCTGCAGCCAGTGTTCTTAACCACTGAGCCATCTCTCCAGTCCCAGGTTCAAGTTCTGACCTTGCCACTTGCTGGGAATTTCATCTCTGTGAGCCTCAGTTTCCTTATCTATCAAATGGGTATAATTATCACAGCACCTACACCCTTACACATTGTTTGGGGGGGGCTCAACAAATGCATACTTCCATCAAACCAGAAACTGATTATGTGAACATGTTACCACTGTGAATCCACAGTTCAGGCTCCAGCCCTGCCCCACATAGGCCTTACATTCCAGTGAAATAAGAAACACAAATGCTGGGCTCAGTATGCAACGTGCCTGCCGCACAAGCACAAGGACCTGAGTTCAAATCTCTAACATCCAGGTAAAAAGCCAGGCACGGTGCTGCTTGCCTGTAACCCCGGCCTTGGTGGACGTGGAAACAGGTAGATCCCTGAAGCTCACTAGTCAGCCAACCCAGCTGAAGAGACTGGATGAGCCTTAGGTACTGCGGGAGAGTCTGCCTCCAAAACCAAAGGGAGCGAGCAAGGAGGAAGGAAGACACCAGGGGCTGGAGACAGCTTGGTGGCTTAAGAGCACTTGCTGCTCTTCCAGAGGACTGGCGTTTGGTTCCCAGCACCCACATTAGGTATCTCACAACTACTGTAACTCCAGTTCCAGGGGTCTGATCCCTCTGGCCTCTGCAGGCCAGAACATGTGGCATTCACTCTCAGACATACACCCACAAATAAAAATAATAAAAATGATTTTTGTTAGACAGGGTCTCTCTGTAGCCCCAGCTGGCCTGGAACTTGCTATGTAGACCAGGCTGGCCTTGAACTCACAGAGATCTGCCTGCTTCTGCCTCCAAGGTGCTGGGATTAAAGGCATTGCACGACACCAGTGCACTTACACACATGCAGGCAATATGCTCATACATATAAAATAAAAATAAAATTTTTGCTGGGTGTGGTGGCACACTCCCTTAATCCCAGCACTTGGGAGGCAGAGGCAGGTGGATCTTTGTGAGTTTGAGGCCAGCCTAGTCTACATAGCGAGTTCCTGGCCAGCTGGGGTTACAGGGCGACCGTATCTCAAAAAGACCAAAAATAAATAAAATTTCTTTAAAAAAGGAAGACACCAGACATTGATCTTGTGCTTTCATACATACATCTCCACACACACGCACGCACATTTTAAAAGGGACGAAATGCTGAGCCCTCCAGTTGTGAGGCACAGTGGGACAGTGGAAGATGAGGCTGGATTGATGAGACCACAAGAAACTTCAAGTGGCTTTTTAAGGAAGGAGAGTCAGCTGCACCTGAGCCCAGGTGTGCCTGACTGGACCCTAGACTTCGGCTCTGCCCCACCCCAGGTACCAGAGGAAGTGGGATGAGCTGGCTGTGCAGGAAAAGCTGTTCCGCCAGGAGTTTGAGCAGCTGGCCAACAACAAGAAGGAGATTGTGGCCTTTCTCAAGCGTACACTCAACCAAAGGATGGATGAGATCACCAATCTCAATGAGCAGCTGCAGGGCCTGCAGCTAGCCAAGGAAGTAGAGAAGGATGCTTTGGAGGCTCAGCTGGCCCAGGTGCGCCATGAATTCCAGGAGACCAAGGGCCAGCTCACCTCGGAGAACATCACCCTTGGTGAGCAGGGACTGGCCGGTGTGCCTGCTGGGATGTCACTGTGGGGCACAGACCCCCCCCCCGTTCTATCTATGGCATGGCATTTCCCTGTGACTGGTTTCTCACCTGGGAAATGGGGCTAATGCAGCTACCTTGAGTGACGGCAGCGACTCTAGACACCATCTTCCTTAAGTGTCCCTGAAACCCTGAAGCCAGACACACAATCCCTCTTCCCCAGTTTGTAGATGAGGAAGCATCTCAAAAAAGTGGTGTGCCTTTGAAATGTCGGGTTGGGGGTGTCATGAGGCTGGTCCAACTTCTGTTTTCCCCATCACTCTTGTGTGGAGGGAGTAGACAGCATCAAGGGAGGCTTCTTGGGGAGGTGGAACTTGAACAAGGTTTGGTGAGACCAGTGGAGGGCAGCACAGGGGCAGGGCCGGGCAGGGCCAGCCATGGCATGAGCGGGGCCAGATCAAGCCGGTCCTGCACATGGAAAAAGCATGGCGTTGGGAGGCACATCACAGATGGCCAGGAAGAGGAGGGCAAAAAGGTCAAGATCTGAGGGGTGTCACATGCCGCCCTCGGGGCGGCCCCTCATCAGCCTTGTGGCCCCTGGTGGGCAGGGGCAAAGCTGGCTGCCCTGGAAGAGTTCCGGCTGCAGAAAGAAGAGCTCACTGAAAACTACACGAAGCTGGAGGGCCAGCTGCGGAAGCAGGAGAGCGAGTACAAGGAATACGTGTACAACCTGGAGAAGAAGTCGGTGCTAGACAAGGACAGGTGGGTGGGCTGCTGGGGACACCCACACCCCAGCCTCTGGGCCTCAGCTTTCCTGGGTTTATAGGGGGAGGGGAACCATGGACTCCCCAGGCTGTTTCCTGGAGCCCTGGCTGGGATTTGAGGGCTAAGAGCAGGCTCCTAGGTCCAGTGCCTAGGCTGCCATTGGACACTCCCGACTTCGATTTGTCACTTTTCCCCCCTTCACTATGTAGCCCTGGAACTCGCTATGTAGACCAGGCTGGCCTCAAACTCACAGAGATCCAAATCCTGCCTCTGCCAAGTACTGGGATCAAGGTGTGTGCCAAGTCAGGTCCCTCTGTCACTTAAAAAAAAATATTTTGCCTGGGCATGGTGGTGCACACCTTGAATCCCAGCACTCAGGAGGCAGAGGTAGGTGGATCTCTGTAAGTTCAAGCCCAGCCTGGTCTACATAGTGAGTTCCAGAACAGCTGGGGCTACAGGGAGACCCTGTCTCAAAAAGACCAAAAAAAGAATATATTTTATTTTTATTTAATGAGTGTATGGCCTGCTTGTAAGTGCACCTGTTGTACAATGTCCACAGAGGTCAGAAGAGGGCATCAAATTCCCTGGAACTGGAGTTAAGGATGGTTGTTAGCCGCTATGTAGGTGCTGGGAACCAAACCTAGGTCTTCTGCAAGAACAACAAGTGCTCTTAACCACTGAGCCATCTCTCTAGCCCCTGTCACTTCTTGTTACTTAATTGTGTTTAATAGGGAATACTGTATTGCAAGTTCCACAGGCCCAGAGCTTCTCTGAGGAAAAGCCCAGGTACAATGGGAATCCCCCAAATAGGGATGCCAGGGTTCCTGCCCATCCACCTGACCTTTCCATTCCCACCCTCCTGGCTAGGCTGAGAAAAGAGATTATCCAGCGTGTGAACTTGGTGGCTGCTGAGTTCCGCAGAGTGGCCAACAACCAGATGTGGGAGACTACCAAACGGGCCATTCTGGAGAACAACAGCATTACCCTACAGCTGACCAAGGTGTCTCAGCAAGGTGTGCAGCTGCTGCAGGAGAATGAACAGCTCAAGGGTGTCCGGGACAAGCTGTGCAAACAGATGGAGCTGCTGGAGAACACCCAGGAGATCATGGCCAGGAACAGGAGAGAACACCAGAAGGTGTGCCCAGCATGCCCTGAACATGTGAGGTGGGAGGTTGGACCCAGGGCTGCAGCCAAGTTGGGGGGGGGTGCAGTGAGGGGCCTAGGCTTCCTCACTGGGGAGGGACTGGAGAGATAGCTCAGTGATTAAGAGCACTGGCTGCTCTTGCAGAGGACCCAGGTTCGGTTCCCAGCACCCATACGGTGGCTCACAACTGCCACCAACTCCTATTCCACAGGTAGCCAATGCCCTCTTCTGGCCTCTGAGGGCACTGCACCCATGTGGTATACATAAACTCACTCAAGCTCACACACACACACACACACACACACACACACAAATTTTTTTTTAATCTTAAAAAAAAAAAAGCCCCCCAGGGCAGGAGAGATGGCTCAGCAGTTAAGAGCACTGGCTGCTCAAAGGACCTGGGTTCGATTCCCAGCACCCATATGGTGGTTAACAGTGGTTGTTAACTCCAGTTCCAGGGGAATCTAACACCTTCTTCAGACCTCTGAAGGCATTGCACAACACGGGTGCACTTACATACATGCAGGCAATATATTCATACACATAAAATAAAAATAATTTTTAAAAGTCCCCATCGTGAAGTGAAGCACACACCTGCTTCCCACCTGCTGTCCAGAGGTGGTGACAGCCTGTGTGCGTGTGTGTGTGCGTGTGTGTGTGTGCCTGTGTGTGTGTGCGTGTGTGTCTGTCTGTCTGTGGTGGCTAAGCCAGTGGACTGATAAGAGGCAGGCCTGGTGCCCTTGGGTAGGCCCAACATCATTTTCCCTTCTACTCAAACCACAGGGATGTGGCTCAGGCTGCAGATGTGGCTATCGAGCACCGGAACGAGGCTGAGCTAAGCCTTGTATTGTCGCACTGCACTGGAGCTACAGATGGGGCCACAGCTGAGAAGATTCAGCGGGCCAGAGCACAAGCCCAGAAGAAGTGAAGAGTCTACCCTTTAGGTGATTCTTTTAGACCTAGGACTTGGCAGAAGGCCTAGCTTCTCTCTTGAGAGCAAAACTGAGAGACTGTGGGGTGGGGAAGCCCGGAATATCTAATTGTAAATAAATTTGGAATACTAGAGTGGTTATTGTACGCAATGTAGCCTTAAGAAAAGCAGGCTGGAGACAGAACCATCTAGATACTGCAGCAGAACTGCACATATTTAATTGTATCGAGGCTGGAGGTAGGCTATGGATTACAAAAGGGGCCTGTCTGCCTTCAC